AGCTACCTATCTAACGCTTGTCTGCCCCAATCTAGCTGCTGCTATCAGAGATCTCATGAGGGAGCACATGCCAAACCTTCACTTTAGTATGCATGCTTCCTCCCGTAGTACTATGTCCCTCTGTTTCACCCTCTGAGCTCACCGCGAGATTGCCATCCAGCATCAGGAAATGCTTGACTCTGGGGACCACATTCTTGTCTTGGAGCGATATGAAGACAGTAAAGCCAGATTTGTTCAGGATCTGACAAAACTCACCGAGCTGGACATCACAGATTTCCCTCCAGAACTTCTGTTCCCTGGTAGAATCGGAACAACCCTGATTCGTATGGGCTTTGTGAGTGAAATTGATGATGAATGTTTCTTTAGATATGATCAATCCTCCCTCCGCTTGGTTTTATAGCATCAACTTGGAAAGGTTTTCCGTCCCTACCTCTTAGTCCGCTTCCAAGATGGAAGCGTTTGCATCGCTAAGGTCAGAGTGATTGCGACTTGGGACCTTGCTGGGAATATTGACGAAGACGGGTTGTGCGTGCGTCACTTCCCATCCTTTCAGTTTCAGCAAGCCCCGGGGGATCCCTCGCCCCTTGCTGGCCGCCTGGCCCAGCAGCGAACATGGCATCGGCGCCAACACAACAACCACGGTGGTGGAGAAGGTGATGGCCTTCAGCTCGCGATCTAACCTGCAGTTCAAGCCTGGCCGTCTATTGCCGAGATGGACGAAATTGTTGTGCCTTCCCAGGTGTCTCCGCCTGCTCCTCAGGACTAGACTGTCCCTGTCTCATCGGCAGATAGTTTGGAGCAGCACTCTCAGGATTAGCATGACTCGCCGGATTTTGACTGCAGCGGTATGGAGGCTGAACATGAGCTCTCCGCGAGGAAGATCACTCGCTAGAAGAAAAGAACTTTGGATAGAGAAAACAAACGACACAAGAGTGAGCGGTTGGCTAACAAGGAAACTGCTTCCTTCCTCTCGATTGAAGTTAAGGCCTTAAAGGTGAAGAAACTGAAGGAGTAGCTTGCCAATGTTCCACGAAGCTCAATGAAGCAATTACCAAACACAAAGCTCCCGGATTTCAACTCCAAAACCACCCCTGAAGCTCTTGAGGATATTTCGATCGCCTGTTGTCTCAATGACCATGACATCCTTGAGCTCCAAAAGGTGTTGGCGATTGTCGGATGAACAAAGAGGGTGCAACCCAAATGCCTGTCCTATCTCCTTCTTCTGTCCCAAATCCATCCCCTCGCTTTTGTGAACGACCTTCTCTTTTGTGGCCACTCAGGAAAATTTACCACTATTGTAATCTCTTTATTCTGCTTCGTTTATGCTTTGAACTGCTACTTCCTGGTGAAAAATAAAAAATAAAATCCAATGAATTGTAAACATCCAATAAAAATATTTTTTTTGAACGAACCGCACTTAAGAGTATGAAGAACTGTGCCAATTTACTTTTTACTAAAATTTATGTTTAAAACATCCAATTAAGTGGCCTTGCAGGGTCTGACTTAAGGGCCAGCATACAAAGAAGCGAGCAAAGAAAAATGATTGGCCTCCATGAGATCCGTGATCTGCTGTCATCGCTGTTTGTCATGCTGAACCAGAAGAAGTATATCCTGTTTCGGATTGAGTTCCTGGTGGTACTGGTCACGGTGTTGTTCCTTGTGATGTTCATCATGGACATTTTTCGTCGCCACATCCACAATGCGACCATGAAAGCCATCTTTACCATCCTCGATGCTGTCTCTGACTCCATAGTCATATACCTGCTGGGAGCTATGAAAACTGCACCTTTCAAGAATCAACTGTTTCCCGTCTGGGCCCTTGTGCTTGTCAATTTTCGGTACAGTGTCGACTTCATCTCTGGTTATGGTGTTCCTGACCGTCGAGGGCGAAGGTTCACAGAGTGGAGGAATGTGGTGAAGCTTCTTGGATCAGCATTCTTGAATTTGTCGCGTGGCTCCAAATTTGGGCTACCACTCTGGTGTCTTTGGGCTCTCCAGATGCTGAGGAGCTGGTACAGATTCCATTCACGTACTCTGGCCATCAATTCCAACTGGCATGGCAGGAGTTCAGAGCTCGTTTCAGAGTACATGCGTGAAGCTAACAACTGGAAACCTGAGGAATGCAACCCAAAGACAATGGAAGGCTTCAAGTACTTAGTCTATGGAGAAAGGGTCAAGTTACAGAAACCTCGGTATGTCCTGAATATCAAGAATAGATCTACCTCCTTACAAAAAGAAGATGATTTGGAAGCTACCAGTCAACAAAGAAGAAGAAGCAGAAGCAGCGAGCGAGGCAACCACCACGCTACTAGCGGGTCCAAGACAATTACAAGATCATCTTTGATCACACTAGATAAGATTTGGGGATGTCACAGGCACCTGCTATGCTCCTGTGACAACATTCCCAGCCCCAACAATTCAGGGAACATCATTCAAGGCAAGGACCAAAAGGATCTGTCCCTCGCCTTCGCATTGTCCAGGCTACTCCGTTGCAGGCTTGAGGATGTGAAGCTGCAAAGGGGCACCTTTCGCATAAATATAAATCTAGTCAAGAGGAGAATCATTGAAGAGAAGGATGCCAATCATGCCTTTGGGATCATGGAGCAGTAGCTGGCCTTCCTCAATGATTACTTCAACACCCGCTATCCTATGGTCTTCTGGTCTGGTCTAACTTCGCTCTCCTGGAGCTTGCTTGCATCCATGGTGACATTTTGTGTTATATGCTGGCTTTCCATTGACATCCGTAAGGTCTATAAGCCCCCGGAGGGTGAGCTGGTTCATCTGAAGCAGGGTGTCAATGTGGACATGATCATCACATGGGTATTCATGTTGTTCATGCTGTTCAAGGAGATCTGGGAGATGGTTACTTACTTACTGTCAGATTGGACAAGATTACTCCTTGTGTGCATGTATGCGCGATGGGATGATGAGCGTACCAGAAACCGCTGCATGGAGAACCTAATATTATCCTTCTTCAAATCTAACATTATTGCTAACAGGTGGCATGGACAAATCGATCAATATGTCTTCCTGGAGTCATATGACGACAGACCCAGAATTTGGAATCTGATTCACAAGATATCTACAGGAATGGTTCCAAAGAAGGACAATGGGGCAAAACTCAGCAACCCCATTGATATTCCAGAATGTGTCAAACATGCCATCCTGGAGAAACTCAACTCTATAGACCTTACGGCCGGCCATCTGCCCAAGGTGGTTATCTCACTGCTTGATGATAAAAGGAAAAGTTACCGATGGGCATGCTCTGAGCTTCAGACATGCACCCACACTATTCTTGTGTGGCACATAGCTACCAGCATCTGTGAGATTAAGCTTGCTAAAAACGAAGGTGTTGATTTAAGCAAACCAGGATTTTTGTGCTATCTATTATCGTGCTTCACAAATTGCTTCAGTTCCAGCTTGTATCTTATGGATGAAAAGAAATTGCCCGGTAAGCTGCAGGAAAGATATATCATCGCGAATAGCTTGTCGCGATACTGTGCATATCTACTGGTTTCAAAGCCTGACCTGATCCCTGACAGCTTTTTTGTGCCCAATATGATTTTTCAAGAAGCCGTGACACTTGCTCACGATGATATTCTTAAAGGCTGTGAGTCTCTACAGGAAAGGTATGATAAATTGATGCCTAAAGAAAAGAACAATACCCAAAATGTTGGGGAAGAAAACATAAATGAAGATGTTCTGCGACAAGGGGCAAAATTGGCTGATAAACTGATGAAAGAGGAGAATGAAGACTGTTGGGAGATCCTATCTGGGGTATGGACAGAATTACTTATACACCTCGCCCCTAGTTGGAATGCATCAGCACATAAAAAATGCCTCGAGTCAGGAGGGGAGTTCATAACCCACATCTGGGCACTACTATGGCATTGTGGAATAGAGAAGAGCATGTTGTGGCCAGTGGAAGATGTGCCTGATAACAATGCCCCAGGAGCAACTCCGAATAACAATGCTGAAAACAGCAACGTTCAGCCTGTGCATGAGATGCAGCAAGCTGCAGGTGACAGACAACAAATGCCAACTACAACAACACCGAATGGAGGACACAGGTCAGGCTTGGCAAATGGGCAGGGAAATGTGGTTAGAAAGATGCAGAATATTGGGAACAGATGCTACTTCAATGCGGTATTGCAGAGCCTCCTCGCACTCAGTGAGCTGCGCAGCAGGATGTTAGAACAGGACCCTCCTCCAGGAAGAGCCCTTCATTTGGAATTGAAGAAGCTCTTCGTGGATACTATTAATTATAAAGAGAGTACGCTGGAGACCGAGAAGCTCTTCCAACTTATGTGCTCAAGGCATGAAGATATCAATCAGGGTGACATGGGGGACAGCAATCATGCCCTTCACTCCTTGTTAAATGATCTAATTAATGAGGAACCTGAGGGTATGCACTTCCCTTCCACAGTTAAGTCGCTCTTCAACGGCCAGGTGGTTAAATCTGTTTCCAGCATACAATGTGCGCACCATTCAATTACCACTGAGGCTCTTGTTCTTAGTCTAGCAATACCATCAAATAAGCCTGTATCAATGAAGGACTGCTTAGATTTATATACCACTGAGGAGATAGATGATTGGGAGTGTAAGGAATGTTCTGTTTCTGCTAATGAAAATGCCTCTGAAAGCCAAACAGATTCAACAGTTGATGACCAAACCGAGCAGCTGAACAGTGGAACACACCAAAAGGAGCAATTCAGCTATTCAGCTGGGAAGAAAATTATCACGCAAAATCAGCACCAAGGGAAGCTACCGTTGCTGGATTGCAATGCACGTCAAATGGATCAATACCACAACAAACCAAAGGAGGGAAAAAAGATAAGAAGAGTTGCAACAATTAAATATCGCATTAACAAGGCACCACCTGTACTAACCATTCAGCTGAAGAGATTTGAATTCGTTCACGATGATGGGTCAGGAAAGATCGAAGAACATGTGATCTTTCAGGAGACACTTGATATAACCAAATATATGGACACCAGGTATTAATACTTCTACTTAGTTGAATATAACATAGCTCATATTTTTTCAATACTGATCCAATATGATACACGATAAGATCATAGTGCCAATAACTTTGGTGATAACTTCTTCAAAAAAAAATATTTTTAACCATTATTCATTTCTCTGATGTTCAGATATCTGGACAATGAGTACAAATATTGCCTTGTAGCGGTAATTGTGCACGGAGGTCAAAAGTTGGATGGCGGGCACTATTTTGCCTATGTAAGAGCAAGCAGGACTGGAGGCCAGAAGCGGGAGAGCAGTGACACTCATTCATGGTTTCTTGCAAATGATGAGAAGGTTGAAGAAGTTCTGTTCGAAAATGTATTAAAATGTGAGGCCTACATTCTTTTCTATGAAAGAGTTCCACACTCAAAGGTTAAAGGGAGTCTAGAAACACATACACAAACCAACCATGGATTTAGAGAAGCATGAACATGCAAAGTGGATAAGAAAGAGTAATATTCTTAAGAACGTCAAATGCCTTTCTCAGAAAAAGAAAAAGAATGGCAGATTTCCAATGACTGAAATGATTTTATGTTGGACAGCTGGATGATTCGTTTTGCTGTCAGCAATCATCACAATTTGATTTCCTACTTTTTGCGGGGATTCATTGTGCTTACTCCTACAGCATAAAGTGAAAATGTGAAAGGGCTTGGATCTTGGATAGTTAGCTCCATCAATTATATTGCTTTTTTTACTTTAGTATTTGCAGCTCATTGTGGTCTATGACAGAATTTAAGTACCCCCCATTATGTAATGAGCTGTAAATACTAAAGCAAAAAAGAAAATTCTGGAAATACTTACATAGGTACCACAATATAATGAGTACCATTTTGTAAAAGAAAATAATTCTGTAGAAAACAGACTTATTAATGTATGTTCTTCAACAACACTATAGGGTTATACTCTCTCCGTTCCAAATTATAGGGTGCCCTCTTTTTAAGAAAAATCGAACTCGGTGAGTTTGACTAACAATCATACTAACCATAAATATGCTAAGTATTTTGCATGTTATATCTATCACTAGATTCATATTTTAAAGTACTTTCATATGATTCTAATTTCATATTTGTTGGGAACATAACATGGAATAAATTAATGGTTTATTGAAGACCGTGTAAAAAAATATAAGCCTTATAATTTAGGACGGATGGAGTTTTCACTATACGAGCGACAATTTATATTATTTACTAACAGTTAGGGGCAGCAAATGAGCAGTACAGAACAAGGACAAGTTTTTCTATGTGTAAATGATTTGTCTTTCCTTCAGTTATACTGTATGCATTACAGTCTAAAGGTTCTTATAGTTATATGTCAGACTCACCAACTGCGCACTACATGCTTGACCAGAGGGCACACATAACAGCATTTGGAAAACAAACCTAATACTGTCACATCTCATACTAAGTTTGTTTGTTTTGGAAGGAGGGAATTTGCATCAACTAGACCTACAATCGGCCGCATAACATAAGCAATCAAGAAGTTTTTTTTTTCTTTTTTTGGTTGAGGACTTCCGTCGAACACCCAGCGTGCAAGAGACACGACACACCCCCCCCCCCACCCCCCCCCCCCCCCCAACAAAGGAGTAAAACGGGGGTGAGGATAGAGATAGACGGCGTACCAGTGATCTCCGCGGCGGGCAGCCCGCGACGCCATGGGTCTCCGCCGACGCTCCTCCCGCCCCGCCGCCGGATGGCCCATCTCCTCCTCCTCCTCCGGCGGGAAGGCCACGGCCAGCAACCGGTGAACAACTAAACCTTTCACTTTGCTCTTTTGTTTGTGTAAATATAAACAAATCAAGGGCTTGTTTCGAAAATTTGGAGCGATCGACCAGGGCCAAGGCGCCCTCAGCCCCTCGTATCCCACGAGCGAATGCAGACAATTGGTTCAATGTTCTTATTTTCAGATTGAAATCACGATATGATGCCGCTTCCGGTGTTTTGTTTCTTTTTTTTTAACTGACTAGCAAAAATGCCCGTGCGTTGCAACGGGTGAAAAAATTCTAATGATAATATACATTTTTCATACATAATGTTGTCAATGACAATGTTTATATTTTAACGAGCGGCTTGTTTTTTTTTATAAACGGTGTTCGTGATTTTTCTCAAACCATTTTTTAGAAATGGCACATTTCTTTCTAATATTTTTTCTTAGCATGTTTTTTTTTGCTTTTTTTACTGACGACGAAAACCATATTTTTCTCCCCCTTTTTTGCTTTTTTTTCTCGTGTGTTTTTTGCCTATTTTTTCTAACAATTATTTTCTCGCGCATTTTTTTTCTTGTATTTTCGAATGTTTTTTTTTGCTTTTTTCCAATACAGGAGAACATATGACGAAATAAAAGCCGTGTAGTATATGGCAAAAAATTGATGGATTATATCCAACTCAAGCGTCCATCAATTTAGCGTTTTTTCTAATAGTTTTTTCAGAGCGATTTATTTTTTAATAGACGGTGTCTTTTTTTTCTTGCGAGGTTTTCTCAAACCATTTTTTAGAAATGGCGCGTTTTTCTGGCAGTTTTTTCCTCGCATGTTTTTTTAAAATTTTTTTACCAAAGATGGAAATAACTAATCTTGCACATTTTTTTATGGAAGATGGAAAACCTTTTTAGAGTGTTTTTTTGAGCTTTTTTATGACTTTTTTCTCACGCGTTTTTTTGAACCGTTTTATTTTCTCATGCATTTTTTTCTTTTTAAATAGTTAGATTAGATTAGAGATAGAGAAGAGATATATATGGATTAGAAATCAGACTTTGTTTCACCCGTTCTATTTTTTTCTCGTGTGTATTTTTAAATTCATACGAACCAGCTTTTTATTTTTTACGAACCATTTTTTGCCACTTTCTTAGGGAATCGGATCAACTTTTTTAGATGTTTTTTTCAGATTTTTTTCGCCTTTATAGGAATCCATTTTTAAAGGAATTGGATATAGCGTTTTTTTCACCACTTTTTTTTGCCTTTTATAGGAGTAGGATTTTTTTTTTGTTCGGATCTATGGTTTTTTTGGCCACTTAGGGGAATCAGACTTTTGTTGTCATTGTTGTTTTTGTTTTTTCCTTTATTTTCTTTTTTTTGCGGTTTTTCTTTTCTTTTTTGCACCTTTCTGCCTTTGTTATCTCCCTTTTATTATTCTATTTATCAAAAACAACCTCAAATACCTTATTGCACGATTATAGGGACTTAAATGTAAATATAAAAATTACAGGGACTCAAAATACAAAAGTACATACCCAAAAATTAAAATCATTTAAAAATAGAATGCTCTCGACATGTAGGTTCCCTTTTTACAAACAAATCTCCAATCCGGCACATTAATTTTTTCACCAAGATGTATGGGATATCACGGTATAGATTAAAACCTAGCGGAGTGGTACCTGGGATCTACAGAGGTGCGTTTTTAAGGGGGAATCGGATCTAGAGTTGGATTTTTTTTTTCCCGTTTAGAGATAGAGAAGGATAGAGAATCGGACAGATTCGTTTTTTATTTTTGTTTGTTCTTCTTTTTACAACGTCGAAGGAGTTGGATTCATTTTTACGGATTCGTTTTTACAGATCCGATTTTCCCCCTTTTTCGCTGATCGGACATGTTTGTTTTTTTTTCTTTTTTTCACCCGGTTTTTTCTGAATCGGATAGATTTGGTTTTTTCGCCCGGTTTTTCTTTTTACGCCTTTTTTTATTGGAAAGGTTTGGTTTTTTTCCTTTTTTCCACCTGGTTTTTTTATCGGACAGATATGGTTTTTTTCGTCCGGTTTGTTTGACGGACGATGGAAACACCGATCTTTCACTTTTCACATCCACGTTAGAATGTGCTTTCTTTTTTAATGACAAATTGGAATGAACTAATGAATTTGAGAAGAGTTTGGCAAGATGTATGACAAGTCTTGCATGAATCAAGAAGGGGAAAGAAGAACAAAATCGGGAAAACAAATCTGTCAGTTGGGGAGAACTTGGACCAGAAATTGGCGATTCCGGAACGGAATTCCTTTTAGATAAAAATAAAAATAATGACAGTAATAGGGGCATTCCGAGAATTGAACTCGGGACCTCTCGCACCCTAAGCGAGAATCATACCACTAGACCAAATGCCCTTTGTTTGCTTGGTTTTTATAGCAAACTATAATATCAAAACTTCAGATTCAAAAACAGTATTATGCTGCGAGAGCCTCTGTGCTACATGCATCTTCACATGCCAAGTATGTACAAACTAACAGCAATACCAATCCTGGCATTTAGTGTCATTTCAGGCACAAACACAATACCTGAACCTCAGGACCTCATCAAACTTGTGGTCCAAAACCTCATCTCTCCAGAGTCCAGACCACTGAAAATCATACAAACATATAGATAGCCTTCACATGCATTTCTCTCTCTGGAAAAGAAAAAACTTTGACATGCATTGCAAAAGGGATTTCAGATTGGGGATTCCGAGAATTGAACTCGGGACCTTTCGCTCCCTAAGCGAATATCTTACCACTAGACTAAATCCCCAGCTGTGCTATATGGAAATCTGCAAATTTTCATACATGAATATACATATGAATAATGTTCAAATTCTCTAGCCTGTTTGAGGTAGCAGCTCGATGAATTGGAGTAACGACAGAGGCCTGAATAAGCAAGGAGATGTTCTGTGGAAGAAGTGAAGTAAACATAATTGCATCGGATCAATCTACTTCCATACAAGGCTCCTAAAATAAAACTGACAAGTCCAACCACCCAGATCTTTATATTGAGATCAGAAGTAATTGACTTCTGTCTGCCTCGCTGCAATCAAATTCAGTAAGTTCACAGAAACATAAATGAAGATGTAGGAATTGCTAAGTGATCATTGATCAGTTACAGTAAAAAAGGGTGAATGCTACTGTGCAGCTTTCTAGTTCAAGATTCATTGCAGCATAAACAAAATCAATGTTTTATCACATACAAATGCAGGTGGTGCTGAGCTGTTTGGAAGGGATGGCCTTCTGCTCTACAATTTGCGATACGTTATTGATATGAAGTTTGATTAAAAGAACAGAATCTGTCAAAGTGTGATATCAAATGTTGTTCCTGGCCCAACTAACAGGTTGGCAAATAAAATTGCTGCTATGCCATTTACCTTGCAATTGTAGTTGTAGGCATATAATCCAACAACTTGTGAAGTTCTGGCATACAGTCCTACACCTTATCGTCAGAACCTGTGTGTGGTCCAGATTCCATTGTCCAGACTCCAGACCTTATCATCTTATTTCTGAATATCATTCTACAATATTTGGTTCTTCACATCAAACTTCCCAAAAAAAATTTCAGACTGGGGATTCCGAGAATTGAACTCGGGACCTTTCGCTCCCTAAGCGAATATCTTACCACTAGACTAAATCCCCATCTGTCTGCTTTGCATATGTGCAAAGTTTTGGGACATGGAAAACTGGGTCAGTACAGTGGTAAATGATTTATTTAGTGTGGGTGATGTTTGGGTTAACATTTTGTTAGCAATGCACATGGGCAGATATTACTAGTATGAAAGAACTTAACATAAGTAAATAACATCAGATTACTTTCTTTATGATTCCGACGCATTCCAACTAAGATGACCAATTAACACTTGATCTTTATACTAATATGTGTTATACTTATTATTTTACAAAATTCATAAGGTAGCACCCATGGGGATAAGTTGATAAGGTGGTCAAAAGAAAGTAGAGAGAACTCTAAATGGCATTCTATCGTACTTTGGGCAGATGCAACATAATCAAACATCCTATGATGTTTTAAGGAAATTTGACAGTTCAGGCAGCTCCCAACCATTGTGATTATCCTAAGGCTGATGGTTCCTCTTTTCTTACAAGTGGCCATGATAGCTCTATTAAAGACCAAACAATTTTGATATCGAATGTTGTTACACATTTGTGGCAAACAGCCTTGCAGTTACACATTAGTCTGATGCATGTTCAAGCAGTGACCTATGCGTTATCTTCAACAAATCTGAAATGGTTCATACTCGACTTGTCCAGATATGCAAACACAATAAACAAGAAAAGGAATGTGCATGGACATTTACCTCAAATGAATTTACAATTTCACTTTTACAAAAAAAAAAGGTATATTTTAATTGTGTTCTTTTTTTTTAACTAGGAAAGCAGAGCTTCCCCATTTCCATATATCAGAAATAACAGGTTTTACATTTTAATTGTGCTTGTGACTCTGACTGCCTTACATATTGCCCTCTACTATTACATCACAATGTATTATAATTTTTGTACCTCATGCTGAATGCCCCAATTTCAGCTACCACTGGCGATCCAGGGAGAGACATAGAAAACAATAGACAGTATAGGTAAAAACCACAATCTTTACCAATTGTCTGAGACAAATTACTATAGTACACGCCATTTTAATTCGTGCATAATGCATATTGTTGTTTTTGTTTTGATGAAAGCTAAATCTCCATAGAAAATCTGAAGAAACAAAATGTTGTTAGGTGAGCATGAGCTTACCAAATACTACTAGTATAAAGCACTAACAACACGTCTTCATACTTGAACTCAAAACTAACAACTAACACACTGCGAAATCAAGACCATCAGTGATGTAACTAAACAGAGGATGATACATTATGACCGACGATGAAGTTTACCCAAGTTAATTACCCAATATGATAGTGTGAACTCAGTCACTAAAAACATCAAGCAACTTTGCAGGAATCATCCATCATCAAAAGTCAGCTTCAGGCTAGAATCTGTACGAATACTAGAACATGCTGATGCCGCGTTCTTGATATGGCAAGGGAAGGGTCAGGCAATCAGACCCTTTACTGGAAGCTCCAAAAAAATTACTTCCCCCATCTTACGGCAAATCCGTGCACAGCAATCTGGGGAGAAAAAAGAAGAAGCAATACCTGAATTCGCTCCTTGGCTTGGGGGCGAGGCTGGATCGGAGCTACGAGGGCACCAGCGATCTCACGTAGCGGGGGCGAGGCCGTTGGTCTTGGCCGCTTCTGGAAGGGAGGAGAGGGACCGGGAAGATCGGGAGGCGGCGCAGCTCCGGCGAGCGGCGGCGGCGGCGGCGGCGGCGACGGGAAATGGGGAAAATTTTAGCGATCTCGCGGCCTCTTCTCCATGCGCCGTTGGATCGATCTTACACGGTGGTGATTGTGGCTGGAAAGACGTAGGAGCCCCTATATTTGCCGTTAATTTGTTATCTTCGAAACGACAGGGGCACACGGCATACCACATATGGCCCACCACACACACCCCCACGCGCGAACACGTGTCGCGCGCAAAGAGGGGCGGCGGACGCCGCGCGCTTCCCTATTTTTCGCTCCGTTTCTCTTTCCATTTTTCCGGTTTTCTTTCTCGGTTTTTTGTTACTTTACAAAGTTTACATACGTGATTACGTGTATATACATGTTTACAAAGTTTGTATACACATATACAAACTTTATATACGTGTATTTTCTTATATGTATATATACAAATATAAATACAAAGTTGATATTTTCTCCGGTTTCTTTCCCACTTTTTGGTTTTTTAATACGTTACAAATTTTGTATATGTGTTTATATACGTGTATTATTCTTTTTTATATGGGCATATACAAACTTTATAAAAATACGTATATAAATTTTATATACATGTATTTTTTTATAGTAAAAGTGTATACATATAAAAAATTGTAATATATATATACATATAAAAAGTTTATACATACGTATAGTACACACATACGTATATACAATTATACATGTACTACTTACTATAGAGAGGAGGAGAGAGAGGACTAGAGGCGGGCGAATGACCGCGCGGTGGCGTGGCGGCGGAGCATTTGCGGCTAGAATAAAATTTAAAAATATACATTATTTTTTACGTACGATTATAAAAGGTTTTGAACGATTTATCGAAATATACGCATTCCGCAGTTCAAAAATGACAGATTATTTTACACAGCATGAAGGCGCGGGAGTGCGAGACCAACGTCCGGAACAATCCGCGACGCGGGGCGCACGACTGAACAGCCAAGTTACGCATATGCATGCAGTATACGCACATATGCGGTGCCGCGTGACTGGCCCGCAGAACCAATGTGGTACTGTGCACCGATGTCGCAGGATTATTCCGGCTATTGGTCTCGCTACCTCCGTGCCACGCAAAATAACCGGCCGCACATCTCTCATGTACGTGTATATTTTCACAAATCTTTTAAAATTATGTATATCTCTACTATTATAAAAATTGAATATGTTTCCGTTAAAATTTTGATATGTCATATGTGTTCCAGTTGGTTTTCTAATATTTATTTTTATCTCTAATTTATCTATATCTATACCTAATAGCTTCCTGGTTTTTTGTCCGTCTTCTTTTTTTTGGCCGGTTTTTCTAGTCCGATTAGTATTTTTACGCATGTGGAATTCCTTTTTTTTTCGGCCTTTTGGTTTTTTTTAGTTCTCGGTTCTTTTTTTTGTCTGATCTCAGTCGATCTACCTTCCGTATGAAAACCCTCAACCAATTTTTGGGAGATCGAGAAACATTCGACCAAATTTGATGGGAAGATAGGCTCTGACGTTCCTCCCTCATTTATTTTCCCCATAATTTACTCTTTCAATTCGTCTTCAATTCGTTACTCCATTGATGATGGCCTATCGTCGAGCTTCTCAGACTTTTTGTCCGATTTTATGAAAAACGGAAAGAGAAGATCGAGTGGATGAAAACCCTCAACTAATTTTGGGAGATCGAGAAACATTGATCGGAAAGAGAAGATCGAGTGGTTGAAAACCCTCAACCAATTTTAGGAGATCGAGAAACATTCGATCAAATTTGATGAGGCTTCCACGTCATATGGTGAGAACATAGGCTTCCACGTCATATGGGTAAAGGACTGTTTTCCGGAGGTTAAGGACACGAGTTGGCTATGTGAGCAGCCTGCGGCTCTACTTGTGGGCTGGGCCGAAAAGAGATAGGCTGAGCGGAGAGAGGTAAGCTGAAAACGTAAGGAAGAAATAGGCTTTGGTCCAAAATCAAGAAAAGATATTCATTATTTTTTTCAATTATAATATATAGCGATACTACTGTTTTTATTTATTTCTCGGCTCCTATATAAGTTGTTGTATCACTAAAAACATATGTTTTGCAACGGGTATTTTTTTTCCTAGCAATCATAAAAACGTAAAAATTGTATATTTTAAAATTTTATTCTTTGCGGCTACGACATCTCTGAGTTCACCGGTACGCCTAGCTGATTACCGAGAAGACTAATTAGCACGTTTGCACAAGATGAGTTACCGGCGGGCGTCCACGTTTTGCTAGCTTAGGATAAAATCGAAAACATAAAGAAACATGAGTAGCACTGTATTTTAGTGCCGATTAGCACGATTAATTCGATGTTTTTCTCCGTAATTAGTGTTCGGGGTTTTTTTTGTAATTAGGCCGTAATTAATGTTTGGTTGTTTCTTTAAATATAATTAAAGCTTTCAAATTAAATTCTAAAAAAATCTACCGAAATTTAAAACTTTATACCCCAAATTTAAAACATTCAACTCAAATTTAAAAACTTTCAACTTAGATTAAAAAATTTCAAGTCAAGATTTTGAAAACTTTTAACTTAGATTTGAAAGCTTTCAACTCAATTTTATTTTTTTAAAATCAACTCAAATTTGAATACTTTTAACTTGGATTTTAAAATTTTAAACTGTTAACTCAAAATATGAAAATTTTTAACCCAAAATTTCGGTCTTTTCCAAAATTGTAAACCCTGCTTGAGAGTAGCCACAATCAGTTAATTAACCAAGCAGAAGAAAATGTGCGCTGCTCAACGTCTGTGGCAAATGGCAACGTATACTTCGGAAATACTACTAGTATAAACAGCAGATAATTAAGTCTCTTTTACAACTTCATTCAATTAAGGGAGTACCTATACATCTTTCGAAAGATTTTTATAATCGTATCACACAGATTTTTAATCTTTATATTAAAATCCGATAGATATAATAAAAAGCAAAAAGCAATTAAGAAACACCATAATGAACATTAAATTACCATATCCTCAAGAAAAAGACCAAATCCAATACAAAATTTAAAATTTACATGTGAAGATTCAAAAATTACAGTGTAACTTATAAAAGTTACAGTGTAAGTTTCATAAATTACACTGTAACTTACAAGAAAATGCACTGTAAATTTGAGTGAGAAAATTGAGTGAGAGATAAGAAAAAATCTTTCGAGTGAGATATAGCAAAATCGTTCAATTAATAGTCGGATTAGTATGACAACTTTAAAATCTGTTCCATACGTCAGTGTTGAAACGTGAGATTCTAACTGTCAATTAAAAAAAAGGGAGAACGAGAATCTGTTAGGATATTTTTGTACGGTTTGATGATAAACTAATCATGTGGGAGCACTATATGGCATATCTATACTCCTTAATATAATTCTAGATTTAAATCTAAATATAATGTATATAGATTTAAGCTTAGAATTAAGTTTTTTTAAGACGAAGGGAGCATGTGGCTTGTGGCTTGGGATCAGGCACCGAGGACACGTGCAAATCCATTGTGGGACGACGTGCTAGCTGCAGGCAGCGGCAGTACTGACGCCGGCCGAGGCCGAAGAATAACCTAAAAAACGAACGAGGTTGCCCATCGTTTCTCACTTTCTCCGTTGGTGTCGTGGATAGCTACCGTACCATCGATCTCCTCCATGGCCGCTTCAAACGCCATTAATTAGAAACGGTCAAGGTCAGCAGAGACCTTGGCCGGAGTATCATCACCAGTTCACCACCCGAGGAATCACCGACCATTGTTTTCCGAGTCCCACACACCGATTTTCGCTATTGACGCGCGGGCCTCCCGTCCCGGTCCTCCCCTGGATTTGAGCCCCAGGTATGTTCGGGCCACGGACGAGCCGCTCTTTTGCGAAAAGGCTCTTGTTGCTTTTCGGAACCTCGGGCAGGTCCTGACATCTTTGTTCGAAGTTCCACCAAAGAGTACTATCGCTCTTATGTACTCCATCCGTATACTTCTATCTAGATTCGTCGTAGTAGAATATGTTACATCTAGTCTTATATTTGTTTTACGTAGGACAGAGGGAGTAAACTACAACGCTAAAAAAATACCTAATATTTTCCCAGCCATTGATACATGTAAGGGTGAAAAAAAATAAAGTTATGTAGCGAATTCGACTTGGATCACCTCGAACTCGGAGTTGAGCTGAGTTAGCCTTCTAGCTCGAGAGTTTAACGAACTAGCTCACGATCCGCTTGTTTAGCTCATTAGTATAAGATATCGGTGCTTCTTAATTAGTGCTTAGTCTTTTAGTTACAAACTATTCGTATTTATTGAGTTCTTTATTAGTTAGTTTTTATTATTATGTTAATATATGACAAAATGCTAAATTTAAAATTATTAATATGGTAAAAATGAGATAGAGCTCGTCATCGAGCTTAACGATCCTATTCATGAGCCAAGCAGAGCTAAGCTAGCATTATAGCTCGTTAATGCTAACTAGCTGAGCCAAGCTGGCTCGTTAAGATAACAAGCTCAAACGAGCCGAGCCAACTAATTATCCACCCCTATAATTTAGTGTGTTGGCTGCTGGCACATTCTCTGTCTCCATCTCTCTAGCTTCTCCAAGCAATTCATTGGTTCTAGTTGCTTACCGCTCCTCGGGGACACTAGATCTGACACACCCTCCTACCTCTCTCCTCAATCTCACTCTTCATGCACTAACTTAATAGCAAAACTTTAAATATTTTTCTTCTTTTAAACTATGCATCCAATCAATGATCCGATTACACCGTTGTATTCGTTGTAATTAAGTCTTCGTAATAAGATCTCATATGATTATATTTGGATAAAAAATATTTTAATGTTTTTTTGTCATAATGCTCTTTTAAATGTTGCAATAATTATGTTTCACTATGTCATTTGGAATGTTGCACATAGTGCTATTTGAATGTTTCAGCAGATATTTTGTGATAATTTAATTGATGTTTCATTAGATCATTTGAAATGTTGCACACAGTGCTCTGTGAATGTTTCAGTAGATATTTTTGTAATGTTTCAGCTATTATTGTGTGATGTTTCAGCAGTTGTAACTTAATGTTTCGGTTGAAAAAGATTTTTTTTACAATAAAATATAATCATGTGAGATCTCTTTGTAAAGATTTAATCACGACGAATTTAACGGTGCAATCAAATCGTGAATTGGGTCAGTAATTTGTAAGAAAAAATGATTTATATCTTGCTAATTAGGTGCATAGAAGGAGAGAGAGGTGCTAATTAGGTGCATAGAAAGAGAAAGGGAGTGCTAAAAAACTTGCATGCAGGGAGGGGAAAGAGAGAGAAATAAAGCATGCATGTGGATGTGTTGCAGAGAAGTGCATACAGATAACATGCATGTACATGTAAGAAAGGGGCGTCCGATTTTTCTCAAATAAATCGGGCGCCGATTTGTAAGAAAGAGAAACAATCAATCTATCTAATCTAACAGCTTGGTGTGGTGGGCCTATTAATTTTAATGAAAATAGTTATTTTTTCTTAGGGTTTCTAGATTTTCTCTAATTTATTATAGTGTCATGTGATGCCATAGGAGCATTTATATAAGTGTCACGTGGTGGTTTAGAAGTGTTTATAGGAATTTAAACATTTAGTATATAATAGATAGATAGATAGATTGGATATCATCTTATAATTTAGCAATGCATGTTCGTAGAATTATTTAAGGTGACATATTATATGTTGTCAACCTTTTTATAATTAAATAATGTTTCCTCCTTGTATATTTGGTTGCCATTCAATGAATATATAGCCCATACAACATCATGGATTTTGAATTATTTATTTGATTATAAATAAAATAATAATAAAAAAATATACGTGACTTAAATTTAGCTATAGAAATCGAAGATTAGGAAAGGAAAGAGGAGATAAGGGGAGTACGTATGAACCAAAATCGGAAGAGAAGATGAGGGGTGTACGTATGAACCAACCGGAGCAAGGGTAAGTACGTACTATGGAGGGGAGGTGGGGACGGGTGTGAAGAGGGGGATTTTGGTTTTTAAATTAGATTTAATGGTTAAAAATACTGAACCCATCAATTTAAAGGAAAATCAATGGTTATATTTTAAAGTGTTACTTGGAGGTTTATGAGGGTTTATAGGAATGCTGTGTGGTACTTTAGGAACGTTTGTAGGGTGTTTAATTAACTTTTTAGTATATAATAGAAATAGGTAGATAGAATATAGATGTGCCCCACCCAAAAGGATTGAGGAAGATGTATTGTGGTATGAAATTATTTTTTCTAAATAATGTAATTGCCAAGAACCAAATAGATAAAATTCTTTAGGTATCATGTATACTTTTTTTAAAAATTTTCTGAACCAGCATGTACTCTGTAAAACTTCGCAATATGTTAGCTGAGGTTCAGTATATACAGCTATGCAAATTTAAGCTCGAGCGGTCGAGCCTGGTCTGTGTTTTTTCTAGTTTATGTTTAATCCGCATAGTTGATTGTAACCTCGGTGTTATACTCTAGTGCATATGCCCAGGTAAATTTATACTAAAAGTTTCATGAAAAATATCATGCGCACACAAGGTTTCTCGTGTACACATCGTACACACCAACTAACAAATTTCACCAAAAATATCTAGAAAAAAAATGCACAAGTACTTTAGTATTACACCTATATGTAAAGTTTTAAACTCAAATTCATTATATTTTAGGCATAACAAAATAGATAAAAATTTGACAATTTTGTGGGTATAAATCTGTCAGAATTTGTCCTTTTGGTGTTCCCTATATATGATGAATTTAAAAATAAAACTTTACACATAATTGTATTAAAAGTATATGTACATTTTTTTAGAATTTTTATGATATTTTTTAATTGGTGTGCACAATGTGTGCATATGATACGTTCTCATAAGTTTCCTAGGGTCTGTTTATAAAATAACTTTTGAAAGGGCTAAAATGTAAAAGTCCATTTGAAAACTTTAGAATTATAAAACTGATAACGCAAACTTTCAATACTATTGAGCCCATTTTATTTTTTAAAACCATTTGCATTAAATTACATTTTGTTGCTTAAATGTTAAGTGCAATTTGCAAGCGGTTGGCGTGTTGAATGTGTGTTAGTCAGGACGACCAAACAATACCTTTCCTTCTTCTTTTTTGTCCATCTACAGATCTATACCTCGTGCTATCCAAAAATACAAGCCTAGCTTCTCTAAAATTTCTTTTTTTTCGACGGGCTTGTTTCTCTTAAATCAAAATCGATCCCGATCGGTTGCACCTACCAAGAAAATCTGATGGAGATGAGAGGGGTATTCTTGGCGGCAGGGATGGCGATGGTACGTGCTCTTAGAAATAGAGGGAACCTCAACAACTTTCAGGTTGCTCTCCGTACCTCCTCAAGAGCCTAGCTAGAAAAGTTCAAACCATGATATACATAGTAAGAATGCTTAGCTATGATTAATCGCAGGACGAAATAATTCCTCCACCTGAGGTAGACCTTCCCCGAGAAACTGAGGATTCAGAAAGAATAATTCCTTCACCGGATGTAGAGTACCTTCCCCGGCAAACTGAGGATACAGAAAGAAAACTTCCTTCACCGGAGGTAGATTACCTTTCCCGGCAAAATGAGGATATAGTAAGCACACTTCTTATGGAGAAACAATGAGTTTTCTCTATAAATTTACTTATTGTTCATTTAGTTAAGTATCTACCGGTTCGTCGAAGCAACTCTATTTTGAGCTTTTATTAGTTTCACCAAGATATTTACATGCTACTTTGCCAAAAAGAAAAACTACGGATTTAATTAAACCAGCAAAAATAAAAACTGTAGTTTTCTATTCAAGCATAAAAAGTAAATTTATAATTGATGCATTATCTACATGATGCAATCATGGCTGCTATCTTTTCAATTGGACGGCTGAGATGCATGCGCTTCTAGCGCGGTTGGCGCAGGTATTCAGTTGTGAACGCTGCAGCTGGGTTTAATTCCTGAACTCATTTTTCTGCTTGGATTAAATGAAAAGTTAGAAATATGTGGCTCCATCTATCTTAATTATATCGGATGGCTAGCTCCTTCTAACCATCCCAACTTTTTTTAAGTATAAAGCTGGATCTTTACCCTAGCTATTTTTGTAAAGTCAAATGCAAATAACATAGAGACCCTTCATTATTAGAATTCCATAGAGGCACCTTCACCAGAAAGTTGAGGATATAGAAAGTACACTTCTTATGGTTTTTATATTTTACTTTTCAATCTGCCGGTTTGTTGAAACAACTATCTATTTTGGGCTTTTAGCTTCAAATAGATGCTTTCGACTAGTTTGCGTCGCACCCTTTGTTGCTTGATAATTTTACCAAAATATTTACATTGTTATTTTGTCAAAAACAAAAAAACACAGATCAAAATGATGTGTAGTATTTTTTTTCCATCAATAGCTTTTTTTTTAGCAATTTTAAGAATTGCATAGGGACTAGAAAGTATTCCCTCCCTCTTAAAATATAACAACGTAGCATTCAAAATTTATCTTAAAATATAACAATTTCTCCATATATTTTCTTCTCTCAATCAATAACAATATTTTCGTTTAGTTCCACCTACTACCTAATACTTGGGGAGTATACAATATTTCTTTTGGCTGATTTGTCCTCTTCTAGTGGCTAAAGTATTTTATCATAAGTTGTTAACAGCTGACATATTTCCGATACTTCATAAATTTATTCGCATTTCCATTTTGTACCATATAACTCCAGACTAGTTAAGAAATATACTTAGCCATACAATTATATAATTCTTACATGTATCTCCTTTCTGATGCAAAACATATGGATTGTGATTGTATTTTACTAGCAACTGATAATAAAGATTGTTGTAACTTGTAACTATCCTCAAAGTCCCTAGCATCGCAGAGTTAAGCCTATAGCAGCATCAACCTTCGGCCTGGTTTAGTTTCCAAATTTTTTTTCTAAAAACATCACATCGAATCTTTGGACATTTGCAAATAGCTCTGTTGCCAAAGAATAGCTAAGTTGCCAAAGAAGCTCAAACCCTTTCTGCTTTGACCTTCGACCTTATTAACGAGCATTAAATATAGATTGAAAAAAATAATTGCACAATTAGGGGGGAAATCGCGAAACGAATCTTTTGAGCCTAAGACCATTCCCAACCCAATGACTAAGATGGTGTCCATAGCATTAAATAAGCTGCCACATAGGATGAAAAATGATGTGGCAAGCGAATAAATGAGGAAAGAGAAGGAAACCACATGAGTCATGGTTTCTACGCAACATCCAATACATCATGTGAGATAAGTAGCATTAAATTTAAGTATGGATAGTGGTGTTTGCATTGGAATGGTAGTGTCTAGTACTAGTTTCTTGATGATGTGGAGTTTATGGAAACTATGTCTAGTATCTTGGGTTGGGAATGGCCTAATTAGTACATGATTAGCCATAATTGCTACAATAACCCACATGTGCTAATGACGGATTAATTAGGTTCAAAAGATTCGTCTCGCGGTTTCCAGACGAGTTATGAAATTAGTTTTTTCATTCGTCTCCGAAAACTCCTTCCGGTTAAACATCCGATGTGACACCCAAATTTTTTTTTTCGCGAACTAAATAGGCCCTTCGTCAACTCCGAAGTAGTTTTGAACTATGATAACCTCTTCCGATTATTGCAGCTCGAACAAAAAGAAGAGCATGGGAAAACAACTGAGCTAGAAAGAAAAGAGAAGCAACTTAAAGAAGAGAGACATGGCGAAGAACATGAAAGGCCACACGAAGAATTAGGACAGGGCACAAAACTCGAAACACAGTGTGAAGAACACAAAAGACTCGAAAGACAGTGCGAAGAACTCGAAAGACAGCGCAGAAAACTCGAAAGGCAGGGCGAAGAACTCAAGAGGATGAAAACCATCACGATTGTTTATGAACAGTTCCGTCAATGGATTGAGGACAAAGCTTCAAACTCCAGTAGTGGGGTTAGCTTCATTGAGTTCAATCCCTCAGAGGTAGATGATTCAGTCCCAAAGGACCAAAATCATTGTCTCGGGAGAGGTGGTTATGGCATCGTCTACAAGGCAAAACTTCGGAACGAGACTGTTGCTATGAAGATTCTCAATGAGAGTAGCCGGCAAGGAGAACGGGAGTTCAAGCAAGAGGTGAGTAACCAATTAAATAAATTGTAAATAATTCTATCATTACGTGGATAACTATTTTGTCAACTGGAAGGGGAGGGGAGAAAGAGATCATGGGGACTTCTTTGATTCATTATTCTTGCTTCATTGTAATAGCACTAGCCTCATAGCATAAAGGGTTCTCCTACCAAATATGGGTAAGATCAAACCAAAAAAAAAAAAGAAATAGTCAAACAACTAATTCTTATACTAGAAAACAAATCACACTATTTAGGAAATATTCTGAACTCTGAAGAGGGTATTCTCAGTGTGAGGCTGCTGCTACAGTATCATCAGCAAGTACTGTTCATTTGCGATATTTATGCTCAAAATATTGATTAAATAGTGTACTTTACTTACTGAAACGATCACTCCAATAGAGGTGGACACTACCTGCAGTTCTGCACCAATAGATCAATAAAACGACAGCCACAACAATTTATTCTGTAGATTGTGCAGTTCACCTTTTCTTCCCGGCTTCACCCTTTCCAGCAAGTTCTAGCACCATTAAACTTCTTGCATTAACTTTTTAGCAAACCTAATATTTATCCGACAGATAAAGCTATTCTGTAGAATGTGCAGTTCACATCACCCTTTCAAGCAAGTTCTAGCACCATTAAACTTCTTGCATTACCTTTTAGCAAACCTAATATTTGTCTGACAGATAAACCTAACATGTATTCTTACTATTGCTCTTCTTGCACCAAAAAAAAAAATTCTGAAAATTCAGATTGCGATACTCAAAAGAATAAGGCATCAAAACCTGATCACTCTCAGAGGAGCATGCAGTGAGAAATTCGCACTCATGTATGAGCTTTTACCTAATGGCACCCTTGAAGATCGCCTTATTAATGAGAAACAAAGGGAATCATTCTCATGGGAAGAAAGAGTAAGAGTGGCAACTAGCATCTGCACTGCTCTTGTATTTCTCCACAACGCCAAGCCTAATCCAATTGCTCATGGTGATCTTAAACCAGGCAACATCCTCTTCGATGATGAAAACATATGCAAGCTCAGTGACTTTGGAATCTCCCGTTTGTTACAGCAGACAAACGACACAGGAACGCCTAACCATATTACAGAAGTGCCAAAGGGTAGCGGTCCCTATATGGACCCTGAATTCAAGAATACAGGCAAATTGACTCCTCAGTCAGATGTATTCGCGTTGGGTATCATTCTGCTGCAGCTAGTCACAGGCCAAAGTGCAACGGGCCTAAGAAAGCACATCGTTGATAAATTGGAAGGTAAAAAATTGGAAAAAATGGACACACGCAAGCAAAAGATGATCTTGGAGAAACTTCAAATCTTGGATGCTCAATTGAAGTTGGATGACACGTCTATACAGGATGCTGTAAAGATGGTTTCACTGGGCCTGAGATGCAGCAATAGTGAAAGGAAACGTCGTCCAAGCTTGGAAATTGAGGTGTGGCCTGAGATTGAGTCAATGAATAAGTCAGAATGTCTATATGGGTCAGATGAAGTTGACTGACTGATGGTCCGTTCAAATAAGTAACTGCCACGAATCACACAGATAAATCAAATCGTTTGGTGGCATGCATATTTCTATATTTTGTTTTGGAAAGAAGACATATTTCTATTTTTTCTATCATGTTAGCTACTTTTAGCTGAGGTTCAGCATATGCAGCTATGCAGATGTAAGCTCAATCCTGGTCTGTTTATCTTGTTTATGCTTAATCTGCAGAGTTTGATTGTATCCTGGTTTTGTAATTAATCTTTTATGTCATGTAGCAAACTGTTGTTTGACTTATTTGTCTATCTGTCTCGATGGTTGGTTTTCTATTTTAAGAAGTTTTTTTTTTGATAAATATAGAAGTTTGTCAATAAATTCCACAGTACATGTCATGCAAAAATCACATTTGCATGGCATATGAAATTACCTTGATCTGCACTACCAACTAATTCAAGAATTCCAATAATTATATGCAGACAGGGAGGGATGTAAGTGGGTCTAACTCTGGATATCCATCGAACTTGTCTGGTTCACTTCTCCCTTTTACCCTTCCCCCAGCTAATTGCCACAACGACCCTGATAATAGTTAATTCGAGATGGGCCATTTTTGGGGAGCTTAGCACAGAGTATGTAACAATACAGAGAGATTTGAGCCCTGATTTTTGATGAGGCAATTATTTACTCCAGCCCATCGATTCACCAGTTATCAACTAGGGATCCCCAAACGAAATCAATCCGCTTCCTGTGAAATCAAAGCTACAGGAAAAAAACAAACAAACAAAAAAAAAACAGCAGGGCCAGCCGCCAAGAAGAGGAGGAGTAAGTACCGGCTTTTTTCCGGCGACCTCCCCTCCTTCACTCGCCCTCGTCGCCGGCAGCCATCATCGCCTTGTGCCCCGCCGCCGGTACACGCTCAGCCGGCGGCGCCGCCGCCGCTTTTGCTGTAGTGGTGGTGCGTGTCAGCGTGTGCAGTCAAGGCCCAGATGTACGGGCCGTGTGGGCCCGATACCGTCTGTTTCTATCTGGGCCTGTAGGCCAGAAGGCGGAGGCGGGCCGATCCAGTGGTACTGATGGGCTGTCCATTTCATTAGCTTTACTGGGCCGCAATGTGTAAGAGAGGGTTAGAGGCACGAGGCGGCGCAGTTCCAGCGAACGGCGGCGGCGGCGGCGGCGGAAGTTGATGGCTCCGGCACCGTCTTCCTCGTCAGCCGCCATCGACGAGCCGCTCCGGCAGCCGGTGCCTCCCTACCGGAGGCTGACGCTTACTGGGCCGAGTGGCACCGCGGCTGCTTCTCTCTCTCTCTCTCTCCCTCCGTTCGGTCTCCCATTTGCTTCCGCTGTTGCCGCCGCTCGCCGGCGGGGAGGGAGGTGCGGAGGAGGTGAATGGCGGCGGTTTCAGCGGTAGGGGTGGGGGGATCAACATCGGAGGTGGTACAGCGGCCGCGGCCGGCGGCGAGGGTGGCTGGCGCTCAATTGGGGGATGCTTTCTTGGTCGGCCATGGCATCGGCATCGTCCGATGGGGCTCTACAGTGTTGTCTATGGAGCTCTCTGTTTCTCTCACGGTAAATTTTTTTGCAGCTCCGTCCGATCTCCTCTTTTTTTTTAATCGCGGTGCATTTCTCGTCAAATCATGTGATAGGAAAGTAGGAGTAAATGCTATGGGATTATCGAATGGTTGTATAAATGGACGAACAAATCATGGAAGGTCCTAAGAGAAATCACGGTAAGGGATCAGTAGTTTTGTGCAAGTCAATGATTGTTTCTTATTTTTTTACTCAACAGTTTTCTGGGGAATCCAGTTGGATGAACAAGTCCGCACATGTGAAAGCTACTACACAGTTCAAATTTTCTTTTATGTAGTTTGCCAACACCGTTGAAGTATTACTACAGTACTACTTACCATAAATGAAGAGTACAGCAAGACAGCAAGTGCCAGAATTATCTATTGCGCGCCACTGTAAATGCCATATTTTAGGAAGTGTGTTAAAAATAAGGACTTAACAAGACCGCGGGATATGTGGTCCTTAGTTTATGATCACTATATCTTAGGAGTTAGGAGTGAGGTCAAGGAGGAACTCAGCCTATGACAACAGCCCAGTTTCCAGATCTCGGTGCTCTTCTTGGCTGAAGGTTTTGCCTAGAGTTGTCTCTATCTTCCCAGGCTGCAGATCCATCCATCATGAGCAGCTACTGAATCCTGCACCTGGGTAAGAATCAGCTGCTTTTCGCCATCCTAGCTCAGTTTCTGATGTATTTGCATTGCATGTTTGAATCATCCCTGCCCTGTGATTTTTCTTCTAGCCGCAAGTAGTGCATTGCATAAAAAATATTACATGTTTAGTTTTCACCGTCTAAATTTGTGCAATCACAATTCTGATTTGAAATAGTAGCTGCATGGTGAGGAGCCATACTAAGTTAGTGGTCGTAGTTTGTTACAGGTCAAAAGCAGAGCATCCATTACCAGCTTCATTTAAACTGACACACAATTGTCATGAAACAATAACAAGGCCCTAATAGGATAAGCATTGCTGCAGACGGCAGCAAGGTTGCGGAGCACAAGCTGAAGCAGGTACACCCTTCGTTCACTCTACTTATTGGCTAGTTGGTGAGAAAATGATAGATATATTGTGTCTTATGCTAGCCTGCTAGGCTGTCCATTCCATCCAATTAATTATGGTTTACTGTTCCTGAGTACTGACCAAGAAAAGGATCAAACCATATAGTGCATGAAGTGCGCAAGCCAGAAGCCGCACATGTTACTTGTGCACCTCTAAAAGTACCTTGTCCAAAGCTTCAAAACTCCTCATACAAAAATCAATTTCACGCCTTCACCTTCCTACTTCCTACTCCCTCCGTTCCAAAATATAGCAACCTTGTACTGGAGGTCTGTCCAGATTCGTTGTACTAGGATGTGTCCCATCCAGTACAAGGTTGCTATATTTTTGGACGGAGGAAGTAGCTTTCTATGTGGTGCCGCTTATGGCTTTTTTCTTTTTTTCATTTTTTTTCAGTTTTAGCTTTCACCTCCTTATAGTTAAAAATCATTCGAGAAAGCAAGAAAGTGTTTCTATGAGCCTTTCTAAAGAAATATTTTCAAATAAAGTCTTCCACAAATAATTTCATGTTTTAAGGGAAGCTCGTGGAAACACTCACTATATGTGATCTATTTCATTAATCAATAATAGCTTTAAGTTCACTAGTATCAAATACAGATCAGTTGTTAGCACCACCACCCTCTCCACCCATCCTGTCCCATACAGGTGGCCTGTGAAGTCATGCTTTCATGAAGAATGTAAATCTTGTTGCCATGGTGACATGGTCCACTATAGCATTATCAGCATGACCCTTCAATACATTTGCCATGTTTTCTGGTAGCTATTTTTAAAGTTGTCTTTTGTAAACTTTATTTGATCAGGGCCCAGGATTGTACACGCTTTTCTGTGGGAAAACCAAAATGAGTCCTGGTGCTTTTATTGCATATTTTCTCATCAAATGGAATCAGGAGACCTACGTCTTTCTTCGAATCCGAGTTATAATGGGATTCCTCATATTCCTCTACATGGTGATGTTCTTCTTGTCGGGCATTTTCTTCTTCTCTACGAAAAGAACCATTTTGAGCTTGCTAGATGCTTTGTCTGATGCCATCCTGGTGTATGTTATTGGGGCCATGCAAGCTGCACCTTTCAAGAATCAGCTCTTCCCAGTCTGGGCCCTTATGCTGGTCAGCTTCCGCTCTAGCATCAATTGCCTCTCTAGTTACGGAACATATTTTGAGCTGAGAAATGCATTGAAGCTTTTAGCTGTGGCATACCTTAATATAACACATGGGTCTAAGTTCTGGCATGTCCCATTCTGGTTATTTTGGAGTCTTCTGGCACTAAAGTGTTTCTACAGGATTCTGGCACGTCATGTAGCATCCAGGTCCTTGTGGAACGGCCGGAGTTCAGAACTTCTTCAGGAGTACATGGGTGCCAATGGTAATGAGAGCAGCTTTAACCCTGGAAGTTGCAACCCAGATACTATGGAAGGATACAAGTATTTTGTCTATGGAGAGTCGCAGCAAAGCAAAAAGAATGGGCATGGCCTAAGTGTTAAAGATTTGAGGTCACAAGTTACCTTGGACAAAATTTGGCAATGTGATGATAGCTTCCTGCCAAGCTCCATCAACATGAAGGGGAAGGATCTGAGCCTGGCCTTTGCGTTGTATCGGTTACTTCGGTGTAGGCTGGAAGGAGCAACGCTGCATGCAGCCACAGTTCACATGAACAGAAAGCTAGTCAGCAAGAGGATCCTCTCAGATAATGCTGGAAAAGAACTGTTCGATATCCTGGAGCTGGATGTTGAGTTCCTCCGGGACTCACTCCATACCAGTTATCCTATGGTCTTCTGCAGAGGGCTTCTGTCACTCTCCTTCACTCTTCTACTGTCTTTGGTGAAGGTAAGCATGGCTTCATGGCTTTATGCAAAGATCGGCAAGGTGTATTATCCGAAATCGGAACTAGATAAAGCTAGAGGCTCTCTGACTTATAGTTTTCGTTATGCGATGCACTCAGTAATATCAGGAACCGAGTTAAGGTATCACGGCGGGAGCCATGTACACGATATTGATGTTGGAGATGTTTGAGATGTCTAGGTATTTCATATCTAACTGGTCGAAACTAGTCGCTATATGCCACTTTGTGAATGCCAGAAACAAATGGCAGAAATATGTCGTTATGAATATATTATTCAGATTCCCTGCCAAAATTTTAGGACATAGGGAAGGGATTATAGTAACTGGCCAGTCTGTCTTACTGCAACCATTCAGCTCAAGGATGTCAGTGTGGAAAATGATCTCTTTTAATTTCAAAAGAAATCAAAACAAAAGTACAGTTCATCTAAAAGTAAAAAGAAATAGTAGTGTGGGCAAGAGTGAGAAGGCAGCAGTCATCCGAGCACTGCGCTCCATGGACCTTGAGGGCCATCCTCTGTCAAGAGACCTCCCATCGCCACGTGTCAGTGACAGAGCAGAGAGTTATTGGTTGGCATGCCTTGAAGAGTTACCAAGATGCTCCCGTGTTATTCTGGTCTGGCACATCGCAACAAGCCTCTGTGCGATCAATCTTGCCAATGATCGTAGGATCAACTTAACCAGCAAGTTTCAGAAGGCACATGATGTGGCCAATTTCTTGTCAGAGTATTGTATGTACCTGCTTATTGCAAAGCCCAAACTGCTCCCTGAAACCATTTTGATGTCTAAGAAGACCTGCCAAGATGCTGTTCAGTGTGCTCAGGAAATGCTTAAAGATTGTCACTCATATTGCGAACAAGAAGCTTATGAAAGAGGAGCAGAAAGCTCTTGTTCCAGGCACACATGATGATGATGTAAATCTGAGTGGAAACATATTGTAACAAGGCGCTTTACTGGCGAATGCACTCATCAAGAAGGAGGGCCAAGCATGTCTCTGGGAGATCCTAGCTGAGGTGTGGGGTCACTTGATTGTGCACATTGCTCCCAGTTCCAATGTAGAAGCTCACGCCAAGGATCTCAAGTCTGATACTGAGTTCATAACCCTCATTTGGGCTTTGTTTTGTCATTGTGGCATCGAGAAAAGCGAATTATGGCAGGAGAAGAAGGGTGCAAAGTCTGGGAACGACACTCCTGGACTGGTTAACCAGAGCAGTCCTGCTTCTGGCATGTCCTGAAACCTGAATTGCTGATGGCTAATGCTCTGCTCCCCTCATGTTTTCAGTTTTCAGTAAAGTGTGCATCTCATCATAACGTTCGAACATTTGTATTTGTTTCTGGAGATTGTAACATGTGTGGATGTTTTATGGATTGTGATTGTAACAGGGGAATGCCCTTGGTGCAATATTATGTGTTATGCTTTTTTTTTTAGAGAATCATATTATTGTCTGGATTGTGATCGTATTACTCGGAAATAAATTGGGGTACGTTCTGATTGTGGTCTGTTTGTTATCTCTTGTAGTTGATGTGCAGTCATGATTGTTCTCTGCGTGTCCTATCGGAGTTCTTGTGATATTGGGTAATCCACCCAGAACTTAACCCATTCCTGTTAATTTTCCTATAGAACTCAGATGCACTGGAAACCCTCCATTTTTCCTATGGAGTTTTTCCTGGATAGCCGCTTTGCTTTGCACACTGGCACATCATGCTTGATTTCACCTTCCAGAAGTAGTCTTTGAAACTTTAATTTAGAAACTGCATAGAGAAGAAAAGTTCAGTTTCAGTTTGGAGAAGCCACAATCGTGAGTGGTCTCAGTTTGGTGCAATCAAGCAACCTACAAAAATACTGGCAAAGACATCATGAAATGCATAATGCATATGCATGTGCAGATGTGCTTCTTCCAGGAAGAAGATCACATATTCTCTTCATCTTTTATTATCAGCAAGCAGTTAGCATGTACTATTATGTTAAAGGACTTGGATCCAAAGGCTATATTCAATGAGACTTCAGTCTTCAGATCATATGATTATACTACTATAAATGCCTTCAATCAGTCTAGTGTGAATTTGGTAGCGTGTACTTCAGAATATATATAGCTATAGCAGCAAGTTGATGGGGGACTATGAATTATGTAATGCCTATTGATGCAGACAACCACTCCAAATGCTGATCATCCAACTTGTTTAGCTTCAATATCATATCATATTAGTCAAAAGATTTTAAAAAAAGAGCGAGCAAGTTGATCATATCAGGACCAAAGTAATCACAAGTTTTTCCTCAAATGTGTTGCACCTTCCATCCACCACTTCACCAGCCTATTTTGTAGCTTACCGCTAAAACAAGGCTGCAGCATTGAGCCATTAACCAACTAATGTGTACAACTTGAAGAATGCCTCTACTACCTCCATCCTAATTCCTAAAATACATTTGTTTTTTTCTTTTCCGAACAAAAAACACTTTTAACATTAAAAAGACAAATTAACAGAAAAGAAGATGATCTACATGCCCCTCATCAAACGAGGGGTGATTGGAAACTAAGATAAAGAGAAATTTGAATGAAAACACGGGCGGCCGATCAGGGACAGTCTGATAGACAAGCAAAGTGAACAACATTCTGCGTGCAGTCTCAGTGAAAATCGAGGGCTATATGTTTCTCATATATTAGGGCATCTATAATCAGGGACACTCTATAGGTGCCCTCACTAACTGAGGGTACTCTCTGATAAACTCCCCCTACAATGGCGGAGCTAGAAATTTTGTGAAGCCCGGGCAAACCTAAGTAAAACGTACCGTTGCCACACATATTCAACGTACAGTTAAAATAACAAAAAAATTATTATAGAAGTGGACTGTTAGTATGCCTGGTCTCCTCTACTGATGCTTGAATGCTGCTTAATTCACATAACTATTTTTTCTGGCATAAAGTGCATGCACAAATAGACGATATCCACCGAACTTGTATGCATGCACCAGCAAGAATCAAGAACCCATCTTGCTAGAATCAAGCTCCTTCGTTGAAATACATTACTAGATGAGGTGATTAACTGACACTTTACCAAAAAAGCAGCAAATCAACACACATAAATCACTCGGATCTCAATGGATCACACGCTGAGCCTGGGCAACTGCCCGCTCTAGCCGGGCGGTGAATCCGCCACTGTCCCCCTACAATGGAGGATATCCCTAATGGCCCAACAAGTACCCCTAACCCAAAATGCCCGTGGAGGTATTTTACTATACTACCCCTCTCTTATATATCCTCCTCCTCTCTCTCTCATTTCCTCTCATTTACTCTATCTACCAAACCGACTTCTCTCGTCTCCATCGTACTCACCTCCTCCCCTCCGCTTCTCGTCTCTCCTCTCCTCGCCGTCGCCATAGCCGGACTCCGCGTGAGTTCTCCTCCCCGCCTCGCGCCAGGACTCAGCGAGCGTTCACGAGCGAGCCCGGTGTGCCTCGCCCCGTTCCCGTGCCGACTCCTCCCCAACGCCGACCCCGTCCTGCTGCCGTCGCTGGTCTCCCTGCCATGCCGCCGTCGATGACCTCCCTGCCTCGCCGCCGTTGCCGACCCTGCCTTCGTGGGCAGATCTGGCCCCACCACGACCAAATCGGGGAGGATACGGTGGCAGCACTGGCGGTGGCGGGCGCGGTGTCGACGGAGGAAGCCGAGGCGCAGGTGAGCAGCGCCTTTCGCCCTCTCGCTGCCGTGCCTCCTCTCCCTCGCCGCGTCGCTCTCCCGTCACCGGAGGAGGGCCGCCGCCGTGCCACGTCTCTCTCTCCCTCCGTCCCCAGGTCGTCGCCGAGGAGCTCGAGGAGAGGGGAGAGGGGTGGAAGAGGAAATCCTCGCTCGGGGGGGGGGGGGGGGGGGGGGCGTCGCCTCAAGCACCCGTACCCACACAACGGGTTCCTTCCACCGGCGCCTAGGCGAAAAGGAGCTGGGGGGGCGCGTCTCCCTCAGCTCTTGCAAGGGGACGATGCCGACGGAAAAGCGAACGGCCGTCGCTAGGGGCACGGCTGAAGCACCACATTGGTGATGGCCTTAAAACGTCACGTGACGATTTAGGAGCGTTTTTAGGTGTCCCATGTGGCTGTTTGAGAGCGTTTGTAGGAAGTTTAATGGACTTTTAGTATATAATAGATAATGCTTCTAATCATATACTTCCTCCGTTTCACAATGTAAGTCGTTATAGTATTTCCCACATTCATATTGATATTAATGAATCTAGACATATATATCTATCTAGATTTATTAACATAAATATCAATGTGGAAAATATTAGAATGACTTACATTGTGGAACGGAGGAAGTAGCTAGTTTGAATTTGAGACTACAAGAATAGGACAGCAGCAAGTTGATGGTAGGGGCAATGTAATGTCTATTAGTACAAGTTTGAATAGGAGACTACAAGAATAGGACAACAGCAAGTTGATGGTAGGTACAATGTAATATCTATTAGTACAAGAATAGGACAGCAGCAAGTTGATGGTAGGAGTGTAATGTCTATTACTAGCAGACAATGGCTCCAATATATCCAAACCATCTTGCTCGTTTATCACCACGTTTATATTAGCCAAAAGACCTAAACAATGATCAATTTGATCATTTGAGGAGTAAATTAATCACAAGTGTTTCCTGACAAAGTGTTAGACCTTCCATTCACACGGAAGGTAGCATTGACCAAATACTGTACAACCTGAAGAATGCCAATTTCCATGCCATCTACCATTGTAGACCAAACTACAGAACAAAAGGAAAAGGCATGCTTCGTCGTCCTCCTCTCCGGTCAACCCTGGCTGTTTATCACGGCCAATCTGCCGCCGGAGTGCTATATAACCGGCAACCGGTGCGGCTGCAGCATCAGCAGACATTCCTCAGCTCACAATCTGTCACAGTGAATTCACACCATACTGGCTGTCTCACTAGCTAAGACCCCGGAGAAGTGTGATAAGTCATCGCTAGTTTAAACAATCAATAGGCCAGGCCTCTCAATTTCCATATGTCAGTGCTGTCAGCCAGCTGAAGGACTGAATACCTTAGCTAGAGTTCTCTACATCTGCTCATGCTGTGGACATCGTCCATGAGTGGCTACTGAATCCTGGATATTGGTAAGAAATTGTATTTCAGTATTTGCATTGCATTATTAGATCACACTCGCCGTTTTATTTTTCTTGCAATTACAAGCAATGAAGCAATAGATTGCAAGGAGTATAACATACTCAGCTTTCACAAACAGAGCTGCTGCTGTAGCAGGCTCCTGTAAAGGAATATTTTCAAACAAGGTCTGCAATAAAATATTTTCTGGTTTTAAAGTATGTTCATGGAAAGCCTCAGTTTGTTTGTGCTCTATTTCATTAATCAATATTGTGTTCACTACTATCAAATACAGATCAGTTGTTAGCACCACCACCCTTCCCGTCCCATATGGGCAGCCTGTGAAGCCATGCTTTCTTGAAGCATGTAAATCTTGTTGCAATGATCCAGTATAGCATTATCAGCATAACCTTTCAATACATTTAATTTGCCATATGTTCTGGTAACCATTTCTAAAGTTACTTTTTGTAAATTTAACTTGACCAGGGCCTGGGGTTATTTTTGGCTACATACTTTTCTGTGGGAAGACTAAAAATGAGTCCTGGTGAATTTATTGCAAATTTTCTCATCAAATGGAATCAGGAGAACTACATCTTGCTTCGAATCCGAGTCATAGTCGCATTCCTCATATCGCTCTACGCATTGATGATGCTCTTCTCGGGCATTTTCCTCTTCGCTATGAAAAGATCCATGTTGAGCTTCCTAGATGCTGTGACTGACGCCATCCTGGTGTATGTTATGGGGGTCATGCAAGCCGCACCTTTCAAGAACCAGCTGTTCCCAGTCTGGGCCCTTATGCTGGTCAGCTTCCGCTCTAGCATCAATTGCCTCTCTAGTTATGGAACGTTTTTTGAGCTGAGAAATTCGTTGAAGCTTTTAGCTGTGGCATACCTTAATATAACACATGGGTCCAAGTTGTGGCATGTCCCATTCTGGTTATTTTGGAGTCTTCTGGCACTAAATTGTTGTTACAGGATTCTGGCACGTCATGTAGCATCCAAATCCTTGTGGAATGGCCGGAGTTCAGAACTTCTTCAGGAGTACATGGGTGCCAATGGTAATGAGAGCAACTTTAACCCTGAAAGATGCAACCCGGAGACCATGGAAGGATACAAGTACTTTGTCTATGGAGAGTCACAGAAGAGCAGAATGAATGGACACAGCCTAAGTGTTAAAGACTTGAGGACACCAATTACCTTGGACAAGATTTGGCAATGTGAATGTGATGATGACATGCTGCTAAGCTCCATCAAAAGGCAGGGGAAGGACCTGAGCCTGTCCTTTGCATTGTCTCGGTTGCTCCGGTGTAGGCTGGAAGGAGCAAAACTGCATGCAGACACTGTTTCCATGACCCGAAAGCTGATCAGCAAGAGGATCCTCGCAGAAGATCCTGAAAATGAACAGCTCGGTATCCGTATCTTGGAGCTGGATGTTGAGTTTCTCCGGGACTCCCTCCACACTAGTTACCCTATGGTCTTCTGCAGCGGGTTTCTCTCACTCTCCTTCACTATCCTGGCATGTTTGGTTAAGTTTCTCGTGGTTCTATGGCTTTACAAGGACATCAGTAAGGTGTATTCACTGGATCTGGATCCGCTGTCTTTTTACAAAGACTTTAATAAGCGGGGGCTGCGCTTATATATTGATGAAACGAGAATCACCACATATTCCTTGACCAGCGTGATAATCTTGGAGACGTGGGAGGTACTCACTTACTTCGAATCAAACTGGACACGATTACTAGCCATGTGCAAGTTTGTGAATTGCAGAAACAGATGCCTGAAATTTGTCCTGAATATGCTATTTAGATTCCATTACATGCTTAACTTGGTGAAAAGATTTGATATTTCGTGTCTGCAACAGTGTCCCACCATGTTCATGCGATCATTTGGATTCTGCTCAACCATGTTTAAGTGGGAAATGACTCCTTTTATTAAAGGAAGGAATCCAAATGAAAGTGTAAAGGCAAGAGTCATTCAAGCACTCCGCTCCATGGACCTCGAGGGCCATCCTCTGTCAAAAGACCTCCCCTCGCCGCGTCTCAGTGTGAGAGCTGAGCGTTATTGGTTGGCATCCGTTGCAGATGTACCAAGATGCTCCCGTGTTATTCTGGTCTGGCACATTGCAACATGCCTATGCGAGATCAAGTTTGCCAATGACAGTTTTACTGGTTGCTGCTTAAAATGGATGTCGATGTTACCATCAACTGAGGTGGATGAGACCGATGATGAGCTCGACAAGTCATACGCGGTGACATATTACTTGTCACGTTACTGTATGCACCTGCTGGTCTCAAAGCGCAAACTGCTACCCGAAGACATTTTGGTGTCCAAGAAGACCCTCCAAGACACTGTTCAGTGTGCTCGTGAGATGCTGAAAGGCTGCAACTCGTTTCAGAGCGTGTACGACAAGCTTATGGAAGAACCGCAGAAAGCTCTTGTTCCAGACGCTCATGACATGAATCTGAGTGGAAACATATTGCAACAAGGTGCTATAATGGCCAATGCACTCATCGTCAACGAGGAGGATGAGGCATGTCGCTGGGAGATCCTAGCTGAGGTGTGGGCTCACTTGATTGTGCACATTGCTCCCAGTTCCAGAATAGAAGCTCATGCCGAGAACCTCAAGTCTGGTAGCGAGTTCATAACCGTCATCTGGGCTTTGTTTTCCCACTGTGGCATCGAGAAGAGCGAATTATGGCAGTAGCAGAAAAAGGGTGCAGAGTCTGGGAACAGCACTTTTCTGGATTGGCTAACCAGAGCAGTGATGTAGCAGATACCCATGTTCAGGAGGCTGGTCCTGATTCTGGCATGTCCTGAAACCTGAATTGCTGATGGCTGATGCTCTTCTCCCCTCGTGTTTTCAGTTTTCAATAATGGGTGTGTTTCACGCCAAAATTAGAAGTTTGGTTGAAATTGGAAAGATGTGACGGAAAAGTTGAAAGTTTGTGTGTGTAGGAAAGTTTTGATGTAATGGAAAAATTGAAAGTTTGAAGAAAAAGTTTGGAACTAAACTCGGCCAAAATCTGCATCTCATCAAACCGATTCCTATTGGCTGTAGCTCTTTTTGAGTAAAGGCTGGGATGTTATATTCCATTATCTTAAAAAAAATCAAACCAAGATCATGTTCTTCTTCCAGGAAGAAGACCACATCATAAAATGATAAAATACTGGCAAAGACATCATGAAATGCATTATGCATGTGAAGATGTGCTTCCAGGAAAAAGACCACATTAGCTCTTTCCTCTTCATCTTTTATTATCGAGATAATCCATTAAATACTATCGACAAGTGTCTAAGTCCCAGAAATACCATCGATAAGTGTGAGTTCCAAGAAATGCCATCGTACAAACGATTTTATCCTAAAAATACTATCGCCGTTAGGGTTCCGTCCATTCCGTGCCGTTAAATACACTGTTCATTCTATATAACTTAACAGCGCGGAATGGACGGAACCCTAACGGTGATGGTATTTTTGGGACAAAATCATTTGTACGATGCCATTTTTTGGAACTCACACTTGTCGATAGCATTTCTAGGAATTAGACGCTTGCCAATGGCATTTTATGGATTATCTCTCTATTATCAGCAAGCAGTTAGCATGTACTATTATGTTAAAGGACTTGGATTCAAAGGCTATATTCAATGACTCTTCAGCCTTCAGATCATATGATTATACTATTATAAATGCCTTCAATCAGTCTAGTGTGAATTTGGTAGCGTGTACTTCAGAATATATATAGCTATTGCAGCAAGTTGATGGGGGACTATGAATTATGTAATGCCTGTTGATGTCAGACCACTCCAAATGCTGATCATCCAACTTGTTTAGCTTCAACATCATATCATATTAGTCAAAAGATTAAAAAAAATAGCAAGTTGATCATATCAGGACCAAAGAATCACAAGTTTTTTCCTCAAATGTGTTGCACCTTCCATCCAACACTCCACCAGCCTATTTTGTAGCTTACTGCTAAAACAAGGCCGCAGCATTGAGCCATTAACCAACTACTGTGTACAACCTGAAGAATGCCTCTACTACCTCCCATCCTAATTCCTAAAATACATTTGTTTTTTCTTTTCCGAACAAAAACACTTTTAACATTTAAAAGACAAATTAACAGAAAAGAAAATGATCTACATTCCCCTCATCAAACGAGGGGTGATTGGCAACAAGATAAAGAGAAATTTGAATGAACACGGGCGGCCGATCAGTGACAGTCTGACAGACAATTCAGAGTGAACAACATTCTGCGTGCGTGCAGTTGTAGCAGCTCAGGTAAAAGAGAGTGCGGTTGGGTCCCCAACTCCCCATCCACCGTCCGATCAATCTTGCATGGCACAGATCGTGTCCACAAAAATAAAGTAGTATTTTTTTTCTCGAACGCGCAGTAGGGTTGTACATCAATATATTGGAAAAAAAGAATATTTGTTAGACAACGCAATTTGCTAGACCGACTTATGCAGCGGGAAGGGGCAGAGCCCACTACTCTCCCAATAAAACCCCAAAATTAGTAATGCCAGCTAACGACCATAAATGGCTCTCTGAAAGGATAGACTGTAGGACCTCCGAGACCGAAGATAACGCAGAGTCTAGAGTCAAAAACCTTGGAGTTCCGTTCCTTCCACAATTGCCATGAGACCAGGAGAATCAGAGAATTGAAGCCGGCATGGTGATGCTCAGACCAAGTATGTCCTAGACGATGGCCACCAATCTTAGAGGCAACTACAACGGGGAGGAGAAAATAAAGTAGTACTATCCAAGTGAAAATTTTGATAACAAGCCCTTGAGTTGCTTATATTTACAGAAACAAAGGACCAAAGTGAAAATATTCACCGCCGCCGTTGTTCTGGCTGTGGGTGTGCCTCCGGCCTCCCCGGAGGAGGAGATGGGCCGTCGGGCGGCGGAGGAGCGTCGGCGGCGGAGAACCATGGCGTCGCGGCTGCCCCGTCCCTGAGATCACCGGTACGCCTCCTGCCCTGACCCACAATTTTACTCTCTTGTCGTGGGGGTGCATTAACATGTCATGTCTCTTGCACGCTGTATGTTCGACGGAAGTCCTGAACCAAAAACTTCTTTGCTTGTGTTATGTGGCACTAGTTGCTGAGCAGGTGAGGTGAGCTTCATGCCCTCAGAGTTCAAATGCTGTCCATGTGTGCCCACTGGTCCCGGAGGAGGAGGAGATTAGCCGCCGAGCAGCGGCGGCGGAGACGCATGGAGTCGCGGCTACCCGTCCCTGAGAATGAGATCACTGGTGCGGCTTCTACCCTGATCCTCCATTTTACTCTTTTGTCTTGGGGGTCGTATCTGTGTGTCATGTCTCTTGCACGTTGTATGTTCGACGGAAATCCTGAACCAAGAACTTCTCGATTGCTTGTGTCCAGTCTGTGTAGATATAGTTTGGTTCGCAATTGAGCTTCACACCCACCGAGTCCAGATGCTTTCCATTTGTGCCCAATGGTCAGCATGTAGTGGCGCAGTTGGTGAGCCTGATAAGAACTAATACACTTCAAGAGTATTTCATAGGATAACTAACTAAAGGAAAGACAAATCAGTTCCATGTAGCAGCAAAGCTTGTCCTTGTCCTGCACCGAGCATATTCTGCCCTTTGACAGTTGGTTAATCAAATGCTATGTTTTCTGTGGTCTATTTGTAAAACAAGTTTTTGAGAAGGGCTAGAAATGTAAAAACTTCAGTTGAAAAGTTTTAGTCTTATAAAACTAAAAACGTAAACTTCAATGCTACTACTGGACCGATTTCATTTCTCAAGAGCCATTTTCATGAAACTGCACCTTGATTGTTTAGATGTTAAGGACAATTTGCAAGCGGTAGGTTGGCGTGTTGACTCTGAGTTAGTCAGGACAACAAAACCAACAAGGCAACAAGACATTCCCTGTTCAGTTGTTCCTTTAATCCCATCATCTACTTCGCTCTATCAATCCGAGGCTGCAAACAAGAAGCTAGCTGTATCTTTTCTCTGAAATCTGATGGAGAAGGCGGCGGCAGCGATGGTGGTAGCGGCAGCGGCGACGGCGGTGGCGGTTGCGCATACCCTTGTATTTTGGCTCAACCGCAACTCACAGGTTGCTTTCCTAAGTCCCTACCTCCTCAAGAGTCAAGACCTTGTAAAAGTTCAAACCGTGATACAAATTAGGAATGCTTAGCTATGATTAATCGCAGGCTGAAAGGATTCTTTCACTGGAGGCAGACCTCAACCGGCAATCTGAGAATACAGTAAGCTCTTACGGACAAATTATCACTACTTTTATATTTTTATTACAGTTCATCTAGTTAACGTATCTTCCGGTTCATCAAAGCAACTCTATTATGGGTTTTTAGCTTCAAATAGTTGTTTTTGACAAGTTAGTGTGCGTGAAACTAATGCAAATGTTACCCCTCCTCTGTTGAACGCCTGATAATTTTACCAAGATATTTACATGTTACTTTGTCAAAAAGAAAAATTGCAGATTCAAACTAGTAAAAACTCATGATAAGGTCTTCTATTTATTGCAGCTCAAAGAAAAAGAAGAGCATGAGAAAACGAGAACTGAGCTTGAAGTAAAGGAGAAGCAACTTGAAGAAGAGAGACAAAACCACACATTGACTGTCCAAAGACATGGTGAAGAACTCGAAAGGCAGAGCAGAGAATTGGAAAGACAGCGCGAAGAACTAGAAAGACAGGGCAGAGAACTCAAAATGAAGGACGGAAAACTCAATAGGATGAAAACCTTGACAATAGTTTATGAGAAATTCCGTCAATGGATTGAGGGTGAAGCTTCAAACTCCAGTAGTGGCTTCACTGAGTTCAGTCACTCAGAGGTAGACGATTCAATCCCAAAGGACCAAAAATATCATCTCGGGAAAGGCAGTTATGGCATCGTTTACAAGGCAGAACCTCGGGGCAAGACTGTTGCTATGAAGATTCTTGATAAGAGTAGCTGGCAAGGAGAGCGGGAGTTCAAGCAAGAGGTGAGTAGCCCCAGAAAAGGTCAAATACTTTGTGAGTTAGTATTCTATCATTACTACTTTGTGAACTGGAAGTGGGAGGGAGTATAGGAGAAAGGGCAGACAGAGATTATTGGGACTTCTTTGACTCATCAATTTATTCTTGCTTCATGGTAATAGCACTAACCTCATTGTACAGAGGATTCTACCAAATACGGGTAAGATCAATCTAAACAATAAGATGTCAAACACCTAACCCTTATCCTAGAAAACTAATCAAACTATTTAGGAAATAGGTGACATTCAGAAAAGGGTATCCTTAGAGTTGAGCCTGCTGCTGCAGTACCAGCGTATACTGCTTTTGTGAGGTACTTATGCACAGTCTACTTTAATAACTGAAATGAATCACTTCCAATTGAGGTAGACCATAGACACTGTCTCCAATAGCTCAAAAAAGACGGGTCCAACAGTTTAGATTGCAGAGTTCACCTTTTTCTCCCTGGCTTCACCCTTCCAAGCAAAGATTCTAGCACCATTTAACTTCTTGCATTACCTTTTAACAAACCTAATATTTATCCAACGAATAAATCTAACATGCATTATTATTCTTAACAACAAAAATTCTGGAAATGCAGGTGGGGATACTCAAAAGGATCAGACACCCAAACCTGGTCATTCTCCTGGGAGCATGCAGTGAGAAATTTGCACTCATGTATGAGTTTTTACCTTCTGGCACCCTTGAAGATTGCCTCAGTAAAGAAGAACGCAAGGAATCATTCTCATGGGAAGAGAGTCAGAGTGGCAACCAGCATATGCTCTGCTCTTGTATTCCTCCACAATACCAAGCCTAATCCAATAGCTCACGGTGATCTTAAACCAAGCAACATCCTCTTCGATGCAGAAAATGTATGCAAGCTCAGTGATTTTGGAATTTCCCGTCTGTTACAGCACAGCACTGACACAGTAATACCTAACCATATTACAGAAGTGCCAAAGGGTAGCGGCCCCTATATGGATCCTGAATTCATGAGTACAGGCAAACTGACTCCTCAGTCAGATGTATTCGCTTTGGGTATCATATTGCTGCAGCTAGTCACAGGCCAAAGTGCAACCGGCCTAAGAAAGCATATGGTTGATAAATTGGAAAGGCAAAATTTGGGGAAAATGGACACACGCAGGCAAAAGATGATCCTTGAGAAACTTCAAATCTTGGATGATAAATTGAAGTTGGACGACAAGTTTATACAGGATTCTATAAGGATGCTGTCCCTGGGCCTAAGATGCAGCTATAACGAAAGGAAACGGCGTCCAAACTTGGAAGCTGAAGTTTGGCCTGAGATTGAGTCAATGAATAAATCAGAATGCCTCTAGCGGTAAGATGAAGTTGATTGACTGGTGTCCATTGAAACAAGTAATTGCTAAGAAGCATAGCAGATAAATCAGTTCTTTTGGTTGCAAATTTATATATTCTAAATGTGTGCTGGAACTAACTCTGTACTCGATAAAATCTCCCTATATGTTAGCTGAGGTTCATTAATTATATGCAGCTATGCAGATGAAACCTCAAGCCTGGACTGTTTATTTTGTTTATGCTTAATCCGCCGGAGTCTGATTGTCCCTATATGTTTTCTGTAGTCGACTTACTTTTGTCCCAACTGTTGATTGGATTATTTGTTTATCTTTTTTGTTGTTGATTTTCCTGTTTAAAAATTTATTTTCATATGATATTGCTTGTCAAAACTTCATATTTGATCAATATAGAAATTTGTTATTGAATTCCAGTTCATGCCATGCAAACACCACATTTTGCAGAGCGCATGGAACCACCTTGATCTGTACTACCAACTATTTCAAGAATTTCAATAATTATATGCACCGTTGATCTTCTAGCTCTAGTAAGCACCGAGTGATACAATAATCATCAAGGAACATAATACAATCTCAAATGAGTAAAATGGATATCACCTCCACCATTGAGGTTTGCTGAGGTTCATTTGATGTCGCGATTCCGGTATTTGCAAAGTATGGAGATCGTTGGTACTAGGATATATGCGAGACTGAGGTAAAAGAGACAGAGACGAGGATTTTTATATAGATTGGCCGAAGCCGGTGTTGCTCTTTATTCATCATAATGACACCAGTACAATATTTGGGGTAGCTTATCTAAGTGTTCGACATGGCGGTCTGAAGGTCTGACTCGTAGTCGACAACAGGGTAGCCTTCCTCTTCGAATCCGCATCCGGCGAGATCAGAGACAGCGCTATATCTCTCCTGACGGTATCCGTAGGCACCGTAGGGGACTAGCCATGCCTATCTTTGAAGTCGATATCCGGCGTCTTGTCTTGGCGAATGTTGGCTTGTATGTTGTGGCTTCTGTTGTTCCGTGTATGTTGATTGTGTCCCCTCTCCTCCTAGGGGGTCTTGTATTTATACCCATATGTGTCCCTTTGTCCAAGTAGAACTAGGGATAAGGAAACCAATATGGATATAATCCGAATAGTCCTTGTCGTTTCCATGTAGAACTCTGGTTGTCTTTCCTTATCCGGAACTTCATCTATATCCGAGGTCAGTGTCCCTATAAGACATGGTATGTGGTGGGTCCTACCGAGATTTAATCAACTACTATTAGGTATGTGGTATCTATAACTCTGACACATTATATGCAACTATGCAGATGCTTAATCTAGCAAAATAAACAAATTTTGGCACAATCTATTACTAAGAATCTGGACATGCATGCCTCCTGTCCAATTCGTACCTATCCAGAATTCCAGATTCATAGCAGATATGTGATGTCCCATACTTTTTTTTATTATAGGTTTGTTTATTTCCAAACTATTTTCTGTAGTAAAGGTTTGTTTATTTGAGACAGAGGAAAGACTACCTCCATCCCAAAATAAGTTTATTTTTGGATTTCTATATCCAACGTTTGACCGTTCATATTATTTGAAAAAAAATAAAACAATCAGTCGCACACAAAGCGCTATTCATGTTTTATCATCTAATAATAATAATAATAATAATCATATTTTTTTAAAAAATAAAACAAAGAGTCAAACTCAAACATTGTATCAAAAATTGAAAAATAAACTTTTTATGGGACGAAGGTAGTAGGTAATAAGACAAGTTTTGATTTCTGGGCCCAGAGCCATCTTTTTCTATCTGGGCCTAAAAGCAGAAGTGGGCCGACCAAGTGGTGTTGTTAGTACTGGGCTGCAATTTGCAGAGGCACCGGAATGGTCGAGGCCGGCGGCGCAGATCCGGCGAGCGGCGGCGGCGGAAGCTGATGGCTCCCTTCCTCCGGTCTCCCAGTTGCTTTTCCCCCATTTTCTCCGCTGTATCCGCCGCTCGCCGGCGGGGAGGGAGGTCCGGAGGAAGTGAAATGGCGGCAGTCGCAGCGGTAGCGATGGGGGTCAAGTCGGGGATAGTACTGCGGCGGCGGCGGCGGCGGCGGCGGTGGTGAGCGTGGCCGGCACTCGAGGAGGGCGCTCCACGGGGGCATGCTTGCTGGGTCGGCCATGGCCTTGGCGTCTCGCTCAATGGGACTCCATGGTGCGATGTGGAGCTCTCTGTTTCTCTGATTCATCGCGGTAAAATTTTCGCAGCTCAGTCCGATCTCCTCTTTTTTTTTTCAAAAAAATATATATTCCGGTGCATTTCTCCTCAAATCATGAAATAATGGGATAGGGACAGTAATCCTAGATTATCGAATGGAGTAATGGACAAACAAATCATGGAAGGGAACAGCAGTTTTGACTTTTGATTCAATGGTTTTCTTTTTTATGTAACTCGAATAGTTTTCTGGTATATCCAGATGGATGAGCAAGTACAGATCCGACACCTATACCTGCCATATTCAGTCTGCTCATGTGAAAGCTGGACATATGATTTTTTTTTTCTGTGATTGCTTCCAACACCATTGCAGTATTACATTAAAACTGCTTTGGTCATAGATGCAGAGTGTAGCAAGACAGCTCTGCCAGAATTTTTTATTCCGTGGCAAACGCCATATTTTAGGAAGTGTGTTAAAAATAAAGACTCATCATTCATCAAGGCCTCTACCGCGGGATGCGTGGTTCAATTTTATAATCGCTATATCGAATTGGAGGTAATGGAGGAACTTGGCCTATGACAACTTGCCAGTTTCCAGATCCCAGTGCTGCCTTCTCGGCTCAAGGTCTTGCCTAGAGTTCTCTCCATCTGCCCGAGCTGTGGATAATACGCCATGAGAAGCTGCTGAATTCTGAATGGGTAAGATTGACTCCTTTTCGCCATACTACCGCAGTTTCTGATGCATCTGTATTGCATGCTTGAATCACCCGCTGCCTGGATTTTTCTTGTAGCTGCCAGCAACAGATTGCATGAAAAATATAACATGCTTGCTTTTCACTGGCTCTGTTTGTGCAGTCAGAGTTCGAAATAGCAGCTGCTTGGTTACTGGTTAGGAAGAGTTTTCTTAGTAGTTACAGTTTTTTGCAGGTCAAAAGCAGAGCACACATTGTCAACACCATTTTAACTGACACAAGATTGTCAGGAAATCATAACAAGGTCCAAATAGATAGATAAACATTGCTGTGGACCGCAGCAAGGTTGCCAAGCACAAGCTGAAGCAGGTACACCCATCGTTTGCTCTACTCATTGGCTAATTGGCTAGAAAGTGCTACATAGATTTGTGTAGATTGTGTCATCATAAGCTAATTTGTCCATTCTATCCAAAGAATTGTAGCTTACTGTTACTGACTACTGATCAAGAGAAGGATCAAACCGTATAGTGAATGAAATGCACAAGCAAGAAGCCTCACTGTATATAAATATTTTTAAATATGGCCACTAATATATTTTCAGATTTCTAGGGCAGGTCATGGAAAACCTCACTGTATTTATCTTCTACCTAGAAAAGCAGTTATATTTTGGGACGGAGAGAGTATTTCACTAATCAATAATAAGTTGAACTATAAAGGTAACTATATTTTGGGACGAAGAGAATATTTCATTAAGCAATAATAAGTTCTCCACTTTCAAATATTGATTATTCGTTAGCACCACCACCCATCTCATCCCATACAGGCCTGTGAAGCATGTAAATCTTGTTACAATGGTCCAGTATAGCATTGTCAGCATAAGTTCATGACCCTTCATTGCACTTGTTATATATTCTGTAACCTATATTTCTGATGAAGTTTCTCTATAAGTTTAATTTGCCAGGGTCTGCGGTTAATTTTGACTACACACTTTTCTGTGGGAAAACTAAAAATGAGTCCTGGTGCTCTTATTGCAAACTTTCTTATCAAATGGAATCTGGAGAGCTATGTCTTGCTTCGCATCCGAGTCATAATGGGAATCCTCACCATCCTCTATCTGATGTTCTTCTTCTCAAGCCTTTTCTTCACCCGTATATACAGATCCATGGTGAACTTCCTGGATCCTGTGGCTGACGCCACCCTTGTATACATTATGGGGGCTATGCAAGCTGCACCTTTAAATAACCAGCTGTTCCCAGTCTGGGCCCTTATACTGGTTGGTCTCCGCTCTAGCATCCATGGCCGCTCTAGTTCTGGAATGTTTTTTGAGCTGAGAAATGTGTTGAAGCTTTTAGTTGTGGCATACATGAATTTAACACGTGGCTCCAAATTGTGGCGTTTTCCATTTTGGTTCTTTTGGGGTCTTCTGGTACTTCAGTGCTTCTACAAGATTCTGGTGCGCCATATAGCATCCAAGTCCTTGTGGAATGGTCGTAGTTCAGAACTTCTTCAGGAGTACATGGGTGCCAATGGTAACAAGAGCAACTTTAATCCTGAAATATGCAACCCAGAGACTATGGAAGGATACAAGTACTTGGTTTATGGAGAGTTACAGAAAAGCCGAAAGAGTGCACACATTCTAAAAGTTGAAGACTTGAAGTCCCTAGTTACCTTGGACAAGATTTGGCGATGTGATAGTGCCTTGCTGCTAACCTCCATCAACATGCAGGGGAACAACATGAAGGACATGGCCCTGGCATTTGCATTATCTCGGTTGCTCCGGTGTAGGCTGGAAGGAGCAACGTTGCATGAAGCTACTGTTTCCATGACCCGAAAGCTAATCAGCAAGATGATCCTCTCAGATAGTGCTGACAAGGTACTGTTCGGTATCCTGGAGCTGGATGTCAGGTTCCTCCGGGATTCCCTCCACTCCAGTTATCCTATGGTCTTCTGCAGAGGGCTTCTTTCGCTCTTCTTCACTCTTCTGCTGTCTTTGGTGAAGTTTTTCATGGCTACATGGCTTTTTGTAGATGTCAATATGGTGCATGTCCCAAAATCAGTACGAGACAGGCCCTCGGGCCCGTTTTAGTTATTCGCTGCACTCATTTGGTTACGATTCAGGTATCACTGCAGCAGCCATGTACATAGTAATGATTGATGAGATTTTTAGGATGCTCGGGTACTTCCTATCAAGGTGGGCAAAACTAATAGCCATGTGCAACTTTGTGAATTTCAGAAACAGATGGCTGAAATATGTCATTGTGAATACACCTGCCAGATATGGGGAAAGAACTATAGTTATACACCAGCATGCCTTCCTGCAAACGTTCAGCTCAAGCATCTCGGGGTGGAAAATATTCTCTTGTATTTTAGAAAGAAATCAAAATGCAAGAATGGTTTGGTCAGAAGGAAAAATGAATGACAGTATGGCCAAGAATGTGAAGGCAGCAGTAATTCAAGCACTCCGCTCCATGGATCTCGAGGGTCATCTTTTGTCAAGAGACCTCCCTTTGTCTCGTGTCAGTGACAGAGCAGAGCGTTATTGGTTGGCATGCCTTGCAGAGGTACCAACATGCTCCCGTGTTATTCTGGTCTGGCACATCGCAACAAGCCTATGTGAGATCAAGCTTGCCAATGACCATAAAATCAACTTAACAACAATGTCAAGATTATCATCGTTTCTGGTGGATGAAAAAGCTCTTACAGGTGAGCTTCAAAAGGCATACACAGTGTCAAATTGCTTATCATGGTACTGTATGTACCTGCTGGCTTCAAAGCCCAAACTGCTCCCAGAAACCATTTTGATGTCCAAGAAGGCCTTTCAAGATGCTGTTCAGTGTGCTCATGAAATGCTCAGTGATTGTCACTCCTGGCAGAGCATATACAACAAGCTTATGAAAGAGGCGCAGAAAGCTCTTGTTCAAGGTACGCATGGTCTAAATCTGAGTGGAAACATATTGCAACAAGGTGCTATACTGGCTAATGAACTCATCAAGAAGGAGGACCAAAAATGTCGTTGGGAGATCCTATCTGATGTGTGGGTTCACTTGCTTGTGCACATTGCTCCCAGTTCTGACGCAGCAGCTCTTGCCGAGGACCTCAAATCCGGTGTCGAGTTCGTAACCGTCATCTGGGCTTTGTTTTGCCACTGTGGCATCGAGAAGAGCAAATTATGGCAACAGCAGAAGAGTGCAAATTTCAGGAACAGCACTCCTGGACCATCTAATCAGAGCAGTGATGTGTCTACCCATGTTCAGGACACAGTCAGCTCTAGTCCACCTGCTGCTCGATCTTCAGAAATTCATGTAGAGGCTAGTCCTACTTCTGGTATGTCCTGAAACCTGAATTGCTGATGGCTGATGCTCTGCTCCCCTCATGGTTTCAGTTTTGTCGGTAAAATTTGCATCTCATCATGACATTTGAACACTAGTATTTGTTTCTTGTGTGAATGTTTTCTGTGTTGTGATTGTAACAGGGGAATGCTCTTGATGCAATATTATGTGTTATGCACTTTTTAGAGCGCCATATTATTGTGTGTGTTGTGATTGAATTACTCTGGAAATAATTTGTGTAGTTGACGTGCACTCGTTATTTGGAAATAAATTGTTTTTTTTTTTTGAGCAAAGGGCGATGCCCTCCATTTCCATTAAAGAAATGTAAAGATTCTTACAAGAAACAGAGTCTGAAAAGCAAAAAAGACATCATGCCTAAAGCACAAGCTAGAGTTTTCCTAAAGAGAGGCCTCCACTTCTACCACACAGAGCCAAACAGAAGATCAAACTACCTAGTAAGACAAAAGCCCATAATTGACTATCTCCAGTAAACGCCATCAGCCATTGAGCAGTCTTCTCTGTCCAAGACGCCACCCAAATTGCGATTTAAAAACTTCACTTGCTATTTGCTTTAGCAATTGTACTCCCCATTGCAACTTTCCTTGCCTTTCCTCCGAACTCTGCAAAATGGCCCAATCCAACATTAGAGAGCAGGCATTATACAAGATATCAACAAGGCTATTTGGTAAAATATGATCAAAGCAGGCTTTATTTCTTGCTTTCCAAATAGCCCAGATAACAGCTGCCACACCCACTAACATCAGTTGTTTTGTTGTTTTATCACAAGTTTGAATCCAAGAGCTTGGAAATAAATTGTTTAGTTGATATTTCTTTTCGCGAACGTTTTAGTTGATATTTCTTGTCATATTGGGCACTGATCTACCCAGAATCTAACCCATTCCAGTTAATTTTCCTGTAGAACTCAACTTTTCAGGAAATGATCATATCAGGAAACTTTCCATCCAGTCTGTTTGTAGCATTGATGGCAACCATACTGTACGACCAGGAGAATGCCATTTACCATCGTAGACCTAATTGCTAAAACAAAAGGAGAAGATCTGCATGTTCCTCTCCGGTCAGGCTTGGCTGATTATCATGGCCAATCCGCCACCGGCGGCCGGCTGCAGCATCAGCATGCATTTCATCAGTAAGCCTGAGAGGAAGCATTCCCTATCAAAGTATTGTAGTATGTCAATATCAACAGTATCTATTGCCGTTTGGACCATTTTTTATTGTCAAAGTTTCACTTTGGACCAGTTTACTCTCTCTATATTTTTTTGGGTAGTTTTGATCATCCCGACTCCTTCTCTAGCCATGTCTAACCATCCATCCAATAGAGATATGACTTGTACATGGGGGAGAGAGTCCATTGTCGTGCTAGAGCCGATGTGCTTGAGGTAACTATGTGCAGATGTAGTGCTTCTTCCAGGAAGAAAGCACCACAAACAGCCTTCTCTTCCTCATTTGGTATCAGCTAATGCTATTTAATGACGCTTTAGTCTTCAAGTCAAACTTATAATGAATTGCTAATGTTAGTCTTTTTTTTTTTTGAACTAGTAGAGCATTGCTCCCCCCATTTCCATTAATAAAATGAGACAGTATTACAGGTCTGGAAATGTTAGTCTTAATGCTTCTAAGTTCTAATCATATAGCTAGTTTGAATATGAGACTCCAATAATAGGACAGCAGCAAGTCGATACTAGGGACAATGTAATGTCTATTACTAGCAGACAATGGCTCCAATATATCCAAACCATCTTGCTCGTTTATCACCACCTTTATACTAGCCAAAAGACCTAGACAATGATCAATTTGATCATATGAGGAGCAAATTAATCACAAGTGTTTCCTCACAAAGTGTTACACCTTCCATCCACCAACCTGTTCTGTAGCTTACCACTGAAACACACGGCAGGTAGCATTGACCAATTACTGTACAACCTGAAGAATGCCAATTTCCATGCCATCTACCATTGTAGACCAAACTGCAGAGCAAACGGAAAAGACCTGCTTCGTCGTCCTCCTCTCCGGTCAAGCCTGGATGTTTATCACGGCCAACCTGCCGCCGGAGTGCTATAAAACCGATGGCCGGTCGGCTGCAGTATCAGCATGCATTCCTCAGCTGACAGTCAGTCACAGGCAGAGTGAACACCATATTGCTTGCAGAGTTGCAGGCTTTCATCAGCAGCTGAGGTAAGAGACAGTGTCAGCTGCTTCATCTGAAAACCTACAGAAATCAAGCGGTTGGGAGTTGAAAACCTGTTGCCTAGCAATGGCAGCAATGCAACAGAGAGGCAGACTGCAGCCGGCTGGGCTCTACAGAGGAGTAGGCCACCAAAATCCAGCTCCTCAGCCAGCAAGAAGGTATGGATACCTTAGAGAAACTCTCTCACTTGGATACTGCATTTTGGATTCTTCTTTGCATTCGCTTCTGATATTCAACTCATGTTCAACCATAGCAGAACTACTACCACGATTCATGGAGGAGGCTACCAAAAGAGCACTGGTGTTAGGAGCCACCAAAAACAAGCAGTTGTTCAGCCAACTGTAAGGTACTAAGATGGTCTTGGAGCATTGCCTTCTCCATTAATCTGTCACAGTATTTTGGCGTATCTTTCCTGCTCCTAGATTTCTTGATACTCATAGTAATAGTTGATCATGGCAGACCATCATCATGGCTCCCTGGAGGAACTTACAGGAAACCTGTTACCTTCAAAACTCAAAAGCCACCAAAACCAGCCATTGCTAAGCCGGTTGTAAGGTACATTGATACTAGTTTTATACACTCTCTTCAGTAGGTAACGCTTTACAATGTTAATTTGTGATACTAGTACCTTGTCTGTGGTTTGGCTCATTGCCTCCCTTCATTTCTTGTTTGCCTTCTTTTGTTCATTCTTGCTCAACTTGAAGTTCATGTTAGCAGACCAAGGCCGTCAATTCAGCAAGGGGGCTACCAAAAAAATGTCATTGGTCCGCAATCCAGGTAAAGTGACTTCAAGAATTTGTCAAAAACGTAATTTGAATGTTTTTGTCTTGTTTCACTTGAATTTAGATTATATACGATTATTTTTCTGGCCAAACTTGGGGTGAAATTCAGGGTGCCTGTTTTGTATGTAGTTTGGCACATTTCTCCCATTCACTTCTTGGCTGTCTTCTTTCTTGCAACTTAACTTGTTTAATTACCATAGCACAGCAAATCTTTGATCAGAAAATACCGTTCTGTTAATTTTTTCTATGGCACTTCTCTGATTGTGTGATCATGATTGATAATAAAGGACAAAGCCAGCACCTCATCTGCAATTTAGGAAGCCTGAAGGCCCCATTTCCATTCCAGAAGTAAGCATTTCATAAAACCACGATATCCATATCTTAATAGAATAGAACCAGAAAACATCTTATTCAAAATGCATTTGCTAACCAGAAGAACCATGAGCACCATGAGCAGAATAAGGTTAAACCTGCCAGCTCTAGTGGCAAGGTGAAGTTCACCGAGTTCAAAACTTCAGATATCGATGCTGCGGTCAGCAAACCAGTGATGCGGCTCCATGAAATGAAAGATTATAGTGTGTACAAGTCAAAATTCGGTGCTATCATGCTTCCAAAAGAGGGAGCTTCACCAAGCATGGAAGAGTTTACTTGAGCTGTAAGTACAATTGAACACTCATTATCTAGAAAAGAAGTACCATTGAACACACAATAATAATATAGTATGCTTTCTTCCCCGACCTGGCGGGCTATCATCTATGGGTTGGAGTTACTGAAGAAGGGGATAATTTGGAGGGTCGGTAATGGTCAGTCTATACGCATGTGGAGAGACCCTTGGATTCCTCGGGATCACTCGAGAAGACCAGTGACGATGAGAGGAAATTGCAGACTGAAATGGGTCTCTGATTTAATAGGGCAAGATGGTACCTGGGATGTTGCACAGATCAGGAGGTGCTTCCTGAACATAGACACTGAGTTAATCTTATCGATTTGTCTTTCTCCCCGCCAGGAAGAAGACTTTCTAGCTTGGCACCTTGACAAGTTTGGGCGGTTCTCAGTCCGGAGTGCTTATAATCTTGCCTGTAGGCTGGCAAATACTGAAGGATCCTCAAGTTCCTCTGCTTTGCATTCCCGCAAATCCTGGGATTTAATTTGGAAGTGTAAGCTCCCACAGAAGATTAAAATCTTTGCCTGGAAAGTGGCCTCCAATTGTTTAGCTACCATGGACAACAAAAGGAAAAGGAAGTTGGTAAACTCTGATATCTGTATCATCTGCAACAGAGAGGTGGAGAATTCTGTACACGCTCTCTGCAAATGTCCCCGAGCCAGTGCCTTGTTGTCGGATATGGTACAGTCAGGTAACTTGTCGCTTGATTTGGTGAATTTCCAATTCGGCAATTACTGGCTGTTTGATTGTTTGGAATATCTACCAACCGAAGAACATGAGATGTTTTTATTAACTCTCTGGCGAAACTGGTATGTGCGTAATGAAATCACACATAATAAGCCGCCTCCTCCGCTGGAAGTCTCCAAAAGATTCCTGGAAAGTTATATTGCTACTCTATTCCAAATCAGGGAATACCCCCACGCTGATCTGGAAAAAGGTAAAACTGTTGTTAGCAGATCTGTTATAAGTGCACTTAGAAGAAGAGGACCAGATGGTCCTCCTACTGCATCGACCCGTTTGCACTGGGAGAAGCCGAGGCTGGGCTGGATGAAACTTAATGTAGATGGCTCATTTGATGCTGATCGTGGGAAGGGAGGTATCGGTATGATTCTACGGGACAACAGTGGTAGTACAGTTTTTGCAGCATGTAAGTCCCTGGATAGCTGCAAGAATGCCCTGGAGGCAGAAATCCGAGCTTGCATGGAGGGATTGATTTTGGCCCTGCAGTGGACTATGCGCCCTATCTTGATTGAAACAGATTGTGTTTCGCTAGTCAATCTTCTGAAGGAAGGGAATAGGGATCTGTCTGAATTAGCTAATTTAGTCCAGGAGATTAAACGCCTGTTGTCAGAGCGTAGGGAAGTGTTGGTTACCAAGATCCATCGTAGCCAAAACGGTGTTAGCCACCTTTTAGCTAATAGGGCTAGGGCCGATTCAATTTCTGGGCTTTGGCCGGAAGGAAGTTGTAATTTCATTTCACAGCTAGTCTGTGAGGACGTTTTGAATGAGTAATACACTTTTTTCCCCGCAAAAAAAAATATAGTATGCATTCTGCCCTGCATTTTTGCTCAGGTGCATCTAGTAATGGATGAAATGCATCATCAATAACCCAATATTTTTCAGGAAAGGCGTAAAAAGCTTACGCATCATTACATATTTAAGATTGGAAGGAAACAAAGACAATAACCCAATGTGACTGAAGTTTCCCATTGAAAATTGTTGAAAATAATGACAGCAATAATTTGACATTGCATGTATAACATTTCAATATGCAATAGCTGTATATCTTCATGCAAGTTATAGATATTATATATTCTTCTGTTTTTCTGACTATATCTCTGAAAATGCAGCTTGAAATCTTCAGAAGCATCCAGCACAAGAACCTGGCAAACCTTGTAGGAGCATGCTCACCAAGGCGTGCACTTGTCTACGAGCTTTTACCTGACACACTGGAAGATCGCCTCACTGACATCAAGAAATCTTTTACGTTTAGAGGAAAGAAATCTTTTACTTGGAGAGACAGGGTTACAACAGCAGCCAGCATATGCTCAGCTCTCGATTACCTCCACAGAAATAATCACAAGCCAATCATTCACGGTGACCTTAAACCAAGAAACGTCCACTTCACTGCAGATAATATATGCAAGCTCAGAAACTTTGGAATTTCCACTCTGTTACATCCAACAAAACATGTACCATCCGCCATTGAGGAAGTTATTCAGGGAATGCCCGGTGAAAAAGTTATTCAGGGAATCTTTCGGACTTTCATGGACATTGATGACTGCAAGATTCAGATTCAGACAGATGTATCAGCTCTGGGTATCATACTACTTCAGCTAGTTACAGGGCATTCAGATGCAAAGAGTCTGAGAGATTTTGTGGCACAGAAACTGGGAGATGATAGTGAATTCCAAAGGAAGAGCATTCTGCAGAAGAGAGAAATCCTGAAAGGGATTGTGGATCCTGAGCTGAAAAGGTGTCAAACACCAGTGGAAGGTGCAGCTAGGATGCTGTTCTTGGGCTTGAGATTCAGTGATCCAGCAGGGAAACAGTGTCCTCAATTAGCCAGTGAAGTGCTGCCTCAGATTCAATCGATGCATAGTACGACTTACTCTCAGATGGTTTGGGTTCATCGCTCCTTCTTTTGAGCCGGTTAAGTTGGTTGATGGTTTGTCTGTTCATGAAAGAAAAACCTCAAATTTATTCGATTTGTTTGGTGTGAAAATGGTAATATGATATGTAGTAGGCATACAGCTTCCTCTGTCCCCTAAGAACATACTTAACCTGTGTGTAACAGTTTCAATATGCTGCATTGTTTTGATGTTCAGTTGTCAAAAATAAAATGCTGTTGTCCCATTTTCTACCTTGAGTTTTTGTTCCGAGTATATTAACTTTGAGATGCTTATGGCTGCTAATCACTTGTCAATCAAGCAGTACTATGCTGATAACTTGTACATATTCTTTTGCCTATTGCTGTCCAGTGAGGCAATGAAGCTTACAGTGTTTTCAGATATAAAATAGACGACTACTTAGGTGGTGACATGGACAAATCTCATACATCCATTTCTATTATCTTACGATAGTTTTCAGATATACAAGTATGGAGTTTATACTTCATATTTTCCCTGATCATCTAACATGTTCTTTACCCAAAAAAAAAAAAAACAAGGAAAAAGTTCAAATACCCTCCTAAATTTTAGATAGAAGTCTGTCTAGCACCCTAAACTGTAAAACCGGACATCCAACTCTCGGAACTTTGCAAAACCATTCATATTACTCTCTAAGGTGGTTTTGTATAATGATTTTTATCTTTGTATATAAATTGGATAAGTTTGATCACATGGCATATACATTGAACATATATATTACAATCTCCACTTAAATCTTTCTTTTACCACTTGTTAGCTCTTACTTACAAACAAGTACCAATATAATAATAGGATGGTATCACTGTATATATATAAATTGATGACTTACAACTAATGATATGCAAATATGATATATTAGTTATTTAAAGTTGTGAGTTTAAGCTTTCAAAATATGTAAAACCATCATCCAGAACCACTTTAGTGGGTAATATGAACGATTTTACAGAGTTCAGGAGGTTAGATGTTCAGTTTTAAAGTTTACGGTGTTAGATGAACTTTCATTCAAAGTTTACGGGGGTATTTGGACTTTTTCAAAAAAACAAAATGCTAACAGTTTCAAAGATGACAATTGGTGGGCCTCCCATATTGAGCTGGGCCGGCTCGCGGCGAACAAAGTAGCCCATTAGGCCCTTTGCTATAATGACACTGGACCCACATTTCATAGACACAGATGGGCCCATTTGTCATCCGCTCAGAGTGTCAAAACAGTAAATCCCCAATGTTTGCTATCCCAATATTGCAATTTTCTCGCAAATATGCCCTTCTAATGATCGCCACCATTGAAATTTTGTGAATCCAACGGAGCATTTGTGGTCTGCAACCTCTTCCTCCCGCTAGCGAGGCAGCGGCGGCGGCCGGTCTCGCGTCGCCAATGGGCAATGGCGGGCATTGCCACGTCACCGATCCCCGCCGGCCGGACTCGCCGTCCCTCGCCGCCTTCCGTTCGCTGGAAGTGCAACTTTTCCGATCGAACAGAGCACGGGAAGCCGGAAGCAAATGCATATGGTTGGTAATGGTCGCCACGGCGCGCGAACTGCAGCAGCGCCGTCGTAAGACGGCGTGGCCGGCCGCCGGCCGGTGCGCCGCCGCCTCCCGGGTGCACGGGGTGCAAGCTACTCCATCGCCCAGCCACCGATCTAGTTGGCCTCCTCTTGACTCTGCTTGGCTGGTCAATCTCTCGACGGAGCATTTCTGGTCTGCAACCTGCTCGACGAAATGCCTCTCTGCTGCGCTGCGTTTCGTTGCTTGTTAAGAGTCATCAAAGTTGTGTTTTGAAGCCTTGCCATCAGCATAAAGAATTTGCATCGAGCGAGGTAATGTTACATTGTCTTTTTTTTTTTTCCAGTTTGTCAGGCTCGAGTGATCTTTACATTCTTAATTGCATTGCTGGAATTCAAAAACCATTGGAAATTGAGAGCAGAAAAGTGGTGATGTTTATTGCGACTCGTCAGCAGTAAAAGGTACAAACTCCTCCATGATCACTGACTCAAGCTTATGCTATTATTCTTACTACTACTACTACTCAGTTTATTATAACGAAAATGAAACTACAATCAGTAGTACAATTTAGCAAGTTGAGAATTTAATATAATCATCAGTATATTATTAGCAAGTTGATAGGGGGATGCCATTTCTGACGCGTGATACTAGATTGGTAGGACTATGTAATGTCTATCAATACCATTCTACTCGTCTTTTTTTAGACAATGACTATTCTACCAGATAACCACTCCAACATCCAAATCATCTCACGCGTTTAGCCCCAGTATTATAACCAAAGACACAGATCAAGTTGACGGAAAGCAATGCACAGGAGACTCCTGACGTGTATGCCTTCCATCACCCACTACAAAAACTAATTTAAAAGTGAAACAGCATGCTGCATTGATCAACTTCAACCTGAAGAATGTGCCGTATACCACTGCAGAAACACGAACAAAAAGACCTCGTACCTCCCATCAGTCAAGCTGCTTTGGCAGCGCCTGTTGTTTATCACGGACAACCTTCTGGTTCTGGCTTCTGCCCATGGCATATATATAACCAGCGACCGGCAACACCAGCATTGCTCGCTCATAACCAGTTACTTTTCATCTCATACCTGCAGTCATTTGATTGACCTGCTATCCAGTTACTCAATCTAAAATCTGCAGAGATCAAGCGTTTGCAACCTGTTTACCAGCCATGGTTGGAGGAGGAGGCCACCAAAATCCTGCAGCTGCTCAACCAGTAAAAAGGTAAGGTGAATCTGGAGAATGTTTTTTTTTTTTAAAGAACCGGCACAAGATGGTGCCAATCTGGACTCTTTCATTCTTGTTTCACTTGAACACTTCGTTTGGCCATGTTTGCTGAAATCTACGATCATGGTTGGTGACAAGGGAGAAAGCGAAGGTTCAAAAGAATCCTCATCAGCAAGCAGAGGAAAAGCCTATGGACGTTGCTGTTGGCATTGTTGTCGTCGTTGTTGGCGCCATCAGTGCTGTTGCGACCTTCATCCTTCTTGGTGCTGTCATGGTCACCTTGGCGATTGTTACAATCATTGTCGTTTGTGTAGTCACTGCTGCACAAGTAAGTATTGCTCTTCAAACGATGATGTTACATTGTAATATACCTTGCTCATGCATCAGACACTATCAGTCGGCAATATTAAGAAAGAAAATGATGTTCAATTGTTCATCAATGTTCCTTGTTCTAACATGGTCCTTGCAGCAATACCTTGAACAGGCGAACAAGAACAAAGCTTCTCGCTCAAGTGGCGGAAATAAGTTCATTGTGTTCAAACCTTCAGAAATAGATGCTGCAGTCAGCAAACGAGCGAAGTGGCTCCGTGGAACAGCTACATATAATGTGTATCGGTCAGATTTTGATGGAATGGATATTGCTACAACTGTTCCCAAAGGAACACTACCAGAATGGATTTTGATGCAAGAGTTTCATCAAGCGGTAAGTTTCGTTGAACACATAACTTTCTCTGCACTATGTTCAAACATAAGTTCATCAAACACCACCAAAAGCGACTGAAGTTTTGCATTCCAAAGTATAGAAAACCAATGACACCATTAATACATTATACACCCTGTTGATTTCTAACAGTACCTCTGAAAATGCAAGATAGAACCACTGTGTATTGCTTCATTTCTCACACTAGTTCTGAAAATGCAGATTGAAATCCTCAGAAATATCAGTCATCCGAATGTGGTTCCTTTCTTAGGAGCATGCATAGAGAAAAGGGCAATCGTTTACCGATTCAGAGAAAACAACACACTGGAAAGTCACCTCAAGTATCTCACATGGGAAATCAGAGTGAAATCCGCCGCCAGTATATGCTCCGGCCTCATGTTCCTCCATAGCAGAAAGCCCAAGCCGATCATTCACGGTGACCTGAAACCAAGCAACATCATATTCAGGCCAGGAAATGCATGCATGCTCAGCGATTTCGGAATGTGTTATCTGTATTCGAAAGAATTTGGACGGCTTATCACTGACCCTTGCAAGATTCAGTTGGATGTATCTGCTCTGGGCATCGTGTTGCTTCAGCTAGTTACAGGGAAACTAGATGCAAATGGTTTAAGAGAACGTGTGATCTACTATCTGGGAGATGCTAAGGGGTTCTACAAGAAAACTTCATCGCAGCAAAGAAAAATCCTAGAGAAGATTGTGAATCTTGAGTTGAAAACAGACAGAACATCAGAAGATGTTGCCAGGATGTTATTCTTGGGATTGAGGTGCAGCGATCCAATATCGAAAAATCATCCAAGCCTCGCCACAGAAGTTTTGCCCCAGATTGAGTCAATGAAGAAGTAGTGCCTCTCATACTTAAGTGGTGACGGCTTCAAGTACTGTGTGATGAGGAGGTTGGCCAATATATGGTTTCTTCAAGAAATGGAAAAGAACATGTCATTGGACTTCTATGTAATCTATTGTTGTTAAGTTCAACTCTTGAATTAACATTTCCTGTACCTAGTGCACCACCAGTTAATAATCTCGATTGACATTGGATCTGAAACCTTGTAACTACGACTCAATTATTACTCACTGTGGTCTTGAAAAACAATTATGATTCTAGCCCTAAACACATAATTGTATTTGATCGATTAATATAACAGCCAACACGCCCGGCGAAAAATATAACACCCAATACAACCAATAATTTGATTTGATAAATATAATGATTGATATATCTATTGTGCTTAGTTTTCTAGTGAAAAATTTAAAAGGAGGTTTGTTAAGATTCCTGCTCTACAGATTTGTGACAAAAATACATGTTTGCTGCTGTGTTTTCGAATTGTTCTTTAATCTGATTTTTCTAGCCATGCGCTTGGCTCATCTACACCATCAGCCCCCATTGGGCCATCACTCTACTAGCCTAGCTCAGCCCATCCAAATTCGTTGATACTTGCCTTGCTGCTGCTTCAGCGAGCTGGTGGCTGGACGTCAGGCACTCAGGCTGGCTTTGCCATTGCTTTTGCCGCCGTCAGTATATGCTCCGGCCTCATGTTCCTCCACAGCAGAAAGCCCAAGCCGATCATTCACGGGGACCTGAAACCAAGCAACATCATCTTCAGGCCAGGAAATGCGTGCTTACTCAGTGATCTCGGAATGTGTTATCTGTATTCGAAAGAATTTGGACGGCTTATCACTGAGCCTTGCAAGATTCAGTTGGATATGTAGCAGCTTTGGGCATCGTATTGCTGCAGCTAGTTACTGGGGATCTAGATGCAAAGGGCTTAAGAAAACGTGTGCTCTACTATCTGGGAGATGCTAAGTGGTTCTACAAGAGAACTCCATCGCAGCAAAGTGAAATCCTGAGAAATATTATGGATTCTGAGTTGAAAACAGACTCAACCTGGGCGTTCGGTTTAAACCGACAATTCGGTTCGGTTTATTCGGTTGCTATAAAATTCGGTTTACAGGCTTCACCACCCGATCGGTTCTCCAAAAAACTGAAAACCGCAAAATTCGGTTTCGGTTTTTTAATTTTGGTTTCGGTTTTAGCCGAATTAACCAAAAGTTACTACCACCAGCCACAACAATACAGAATTACATAAAAATGAACACAAGCAACAGCATATATGATATTATAGATATATCAAATCCTTAAGCAAGCAATAACCAGCAGCACAGCTGCATAGAATTACACAAAGTAGTCACACAGTACACAAATCAACATGTCTCAAGAGTACAGTTACATAGATTCAAGAGTTCTTCATTATTCAAATAGAGAAATATAAAGTCCCAGGTAGCACCGTAGCAGGCACCCAACAGGCAACAACAGCATTGCATACACCAAACCAAGTGTCCAAGACTCCAAATGATCACTGATCAGGACTGAATTACTGAGTTGCAGCTGGAGTATCTTCCTTGGAAATAGATAGGTCACCAAGTTCTAAAATAATAGATGATCTCAGTTAGAACAGTCAATAGTGTATGAATCATGAAGCACATTAGAATTTGGAAGGAAATAAAAATTTTCTATGTTACCTTCCTCAAGCAAAGCCATTTGTTCGCTGTCCTCTTCAACACTAACATAGTTTCCTCCACGAAGCCAATCATTAGCACAAACAAGACGCTCAACCATTCTTGGGGGTTAGTGAGGTCCTAAAGTCATCTAGAGTTCGCCCACCAGCACTGAAGGCTGATTCAGAGGCAACTGAGGTGATAGGAATTGCCAAAAGATCACGGGCCAAATGAGATAATATTGGGAATCTTGTTGAATTGGCCTTCCACCACTTTAGAATGTCAAATTTTGGTGTGTCCGGCTCATTATCTTCTGATAGATACTTGTCTACCTCAGATTTGATAGTTCCACTTCCACCCTCACTGTTAAGTTGCTGAGTAATTACTGACATCCACCTACAACTCACTCTTTTGCTGGTTTCAGCTGTAGATTCAGATTCAGTAGGTTGCGGTGCCTTATCTTTTGGGGTATACATTTCCTTGTACTCTTCAAACAAAGCACGAAAATAGGTATTCACTGTTTCCCATACTTTTTCTCCTACTGTATCCCCAAACATCACCTTAATTCCCATTCTAATGCAATTTGATAGTTTGTATCTAGGATCAATAGCAACACAGAAGAAGACAGTGAAGTTGAGTAGTTGATCCCCCTTATCTTTCTCTCCTCTCTTCTCTCTGTCCCCCTGCCTCTCACCATACTTCTCTCCCCAATACTTGTAGTACTTCATTAGCATTCTTGTACCCATTTCCTTGCTCAACTTGTCTTCACTATGAGACCATTCTCTCAACAGAAGTAATACATCAGCAATCTCATGGAAATAAGTGTGAGATGTTGTACGACTTTGTACAGAAACACGGAGAGTGAGGTCATAAAAGTGTTCAAGAAAATCAGCCATCTTCCTAGCCTTCTCCCAATCTGCTCTTGTTGGTACCCCTGGACCATTCTCTCCTTCTAATTCTAATTTGTAGTATGGGTCTTCATCACTATATCTTTCAAATGCTTTTTGGTACTTCTCAGCAGCATTTAACATAAGATAGGTTGAGTTCCATCTAGTGCAAATATCTAAGTTTAGAAATGCTTTGCTCTGTACCTTGGCTAACTCAGCACATTTCTTAAATTTTACCAACCTAGATGTTCCACATCTGATAAACTTAACAGCAGCACGGACACGTTGAATTGATGTACCAATTTCCTTCAAGCCATCACCTACTATTAGGTTGATAATATGAGCAGCACAGCGCATATGAATGTACTCTCCTTCAGCAACACAACCTTTTGACTCATTCAAGACCCTTCTCATATACTTAATTGCATTATTGTTTGCACTAGCATTGTCTACTGTTATTGTAAAAACCTTGTCAATGCCCCACTCAGCCAAGCAGTTCTCTAATGATTTTCCAATGTCCTCCCCTCTATGTCCCTTAACAAAAAAAAAACCAATAATTTTCTTCTGTAGGTTCCACTCATTGTCAATGAAATGGGCTGTAACACACATGAAGTTTTGGCTGTTCTTAGCAGTCCATGTATCAGTTGTGAGGCAAACTCTTACACAATTGTCCTTAAAAAATTTCTTAAGCTTTTCTTTCTCATCTTCATATACTTTAACACAAGCTCTAGTGATTGTTCTTCTAGATGGCAGAACAAATCGTGGACATGCTAAAGTCATAAATTTCCTAAGACCAGAACGCTCAGATAGGACAAATGGTTGTTCATCTTCAATTATCATCTCAGCAAAACACCTTCTAAGTTTATCTGGATCAAATTTCCAAGTGGTCACAGTACCAAGAGTACTATTGCCATCACATGGTGTCAGTTGCAAAGTTCCTTGATTATCAACTACTGGTTTGTTAGGATTCTTTTTGCAAATCTTCAGATGAGCTTTCAAGGATGACGTACCATTTGTTCTTGAGCCGCAATGAAATAGCTTGGTACACCACTTGCACTTGGCCCTCTCGTCCCCATTAGCAAGTTTGACCTTGCTGAAACTTTCCCATACATCAGATCTTAGAGCCATTGGTTTTCTTTTTCTGGATTCTTCATCAGCTTTCTCTCCATCCTTGGACTGCTGCTGCTCCTCCTTGTCCTTGCTTGCATCTACCACTCCAGTAGTTGACACTCCGGTTTCAGTGTCTTGAGATTGAGTGTGATTAATCTCACAAGCAACAGTTTCATCTGTGTCCCCCATCTAGATCAAATGTTTCAAATCACTAAATCAGAACTTACCAACATAGAACAGCAATACAACACTCATTCACTCAACATGGACTCAACTAGAACAAACGAACAAGAAGTGAAGAACTTACATAGGAGGACTGCTCGGTCCGCGCCGCCGTTGTCTTGGTCGGAGAACTCCACGAGGGTGTTGCCGGCCCGCCGCCAGCAGCCCGTTTGCCGGCCGCCGAGTTAGGGTTTGGGTCTTTGGGCGCAGGGGGCGGTGTGCTCGCGGGCGGCTCGCCGGGGCCTACAGCTGCTGCTCAGGGGAGGGGAGTGTGGCGCTGCGGCCGTGCGGCGTGCCGCCTCGAGCCCGCGACGGCGAGGTAGGGCAGCGGCAGCGCTGCGGCGGCACCCTGCGCGGCTGGCGGCCGGGCTAGCGGCTGCGCCGAGTGACGAGTCGGGGGCGTGACGACTGACGAGTCGGGGGCGTGGCGTAGGGTTGGCCTTGCCCTTGATGGCCTGATGGGCTGCGAACTGGTGGGCCGTGGGCTGCGCCGCCGCGAGATATGTCGGTTTAATCGGTTGTTCGGTTCGGTTTCTCTATAAAACCGCCGCCGCGGGATATGTCGGTTTAATCGGTTGTTCGGTTCGGTTTCTCTATAAAACCGAAGCCGAAGCCGTACACCGAATAGCACAAAAACAGAAACCGAACTGACAACCGAAAACCGAAAAAACCAACAATTCGGTTCGGTTCGGTGCGGTTCGGTTCGGTTTGCGGCTAAAAAATGCCCAGGCTGAAAACAGACAGATCAAGATCAGAAGATGTTGCCAGGATGTTATTCTTGGGATTGAGATGCAGTGATCCAATAGTGAAGAATCATCCAATCCTCGCCACAGAAATTATGCCCCAGATTAATTCAATGAAGAGTAGTGACTCTAAGAAGGAATAAATGTATGTACAAAGCGGGCCAAAAATAAAAAACGAATGGGACAAAGATACTGGAGGGGGAAACGAAGGACAAAAGCCTAATCTCATACTAAATTTGGCGACCCTTCTCCATTCACAGGGAGTCAGGGACTACCATAACGGGGATTGCGGCTCTAGCCAGCCGCCAAAGCTCTGCTTCACCCGTCATAACCCTTACAATCTCCGCCCATGTTCCGCTCTTCCAAAGCTCTGCTTCACCCGTCATAACCCTTACAATCTCCGCCCATGTTCCGCTCTTCTAGTTGAAGACCTGATTGTTTCTTTCCTTCCAAATCGTCCACGCTACTAGTGTTGCGATGATGTTGAATCCCCGGCGATGTTCCTTGACCATCTTCTTACGGCTGTCACACAACCAAGAATGAAAAGAGGGCTCATTGAGCGGTAAACACTCGGAATGCCCAATAGCTCTAAGAGCAATCCACCAAAGTTGTCGAGACTCCGGGCATGCGACCAAGAGATGATCAATCGTTTCCTCGCATTGATCACAAAGAACACAGCGATCCGGGTGCGACAAACCACGACTCCGAAGGCAATCCGCTGATCCCGTTGAAGGCAGTCTGCTGTCCAACAATTCTGTCCGTCATTTATTCCTTCTTAATACAATGATGTGCTCACTCTCATACTTAGAGGTGATGGGTTCACTGTGTGTGTAGGTTGGCCAAAATATAGTTTGTTCAACAAAGGGAAGAACATATATATTATCGGACTTCTGTTGTAATCTGTTTAAGTTCAATTCTTCTCTCTTTTTTTTTGAAAGGATTTAAGTTCAACTCTTGAATGGACATTTCCTGTACCTCGTGCACCACCAGTTAATAATTTCGACTTACATCAGACCTGAAACCTTGTAACTAGGACTCAATTATGACTGATTGTGATCTTGAAGAACAATTAAGATTCTAGCCCTAACCCCATAATTTGATCTGATAAATATAATACCCAATACTACCAATATTTTGATCTGATAAATAGAACAGCCAATGATTGATATATCTGCTACGCTCAGATTTCTGGTGAAAAATGGAAAATGCAGTGAGTAAAGATGTCAGCTCTGCAGATTTGTGACAAAAGTACATGTTTGCTGCTGTAGTTTTGAACTGTTTGTCAATCTGATATTTCTAGGCTTTATGCTTGGCAAATCTTCATCATCAGCTCCCATTGGTCCATCACTCTACTAATCTAGCCCGGACCAGCCCATCCAAAATACACTGATGCTTGCTGGCTACATGTCAGGTTGGCTGTGCGGCTTTCCTCTTTCCTTTTGACCCTCTTCGATTCTCCTTTTCATTTGTTCCTACTTTACCTGCAATCCTGCACGGCTGCTGCACCTTCTTTCATCTAGCTAGTAGAATTTGAGTTTTTTAACACCTAGGAGACCATGTGGGCCCCTCCACCTCCTCCCCGCGTTCCCCGCTGGCCATGTGGGCCCCGACGAAGACTTCCTCGCCCTCCATGTACCTCGCACAGAGTCGGCCACTGTGGCAGGCGTCCCTTTCATTTGTTCTTGATTTACCTATAGTCCTGCACGACTGCCGCACCTTCTTTCGTATGGTAGAATTTGAGTTTTTGTGACACCTAGGAGACCATGTGGGCCCCTCCACGTTCCCCGCTGGCCATGTGGGCCCCCGACGAAGACTTCCTCGCCCTCCCCGTACTTCACATAGAATCATCCGCTGTGTCAGGCGTCCCTTTCATTTGTTCCTGATTTACATGTAGTCCTGCATGACTGCTGCACCTTCTTTCGTCGGGTAGAATTTGAGTTTTTGTGACACCTAGGAGACCATGTGGGCCCCTCCATCTCCTCCCCACGTGCCACGCCCCCGACGAAGACTTCCTTGCCCTCCCTGTACCTCGCATATATAGAAGCCAACCATTGTGGCAGGCGCCCTTTCATTTGTTCCTACTTTACTTGAAGTCCTACACAATTGTTGCCCCTTCTTTCGATTGGTAGAATTTAACGGCCCTATCCTTAAAATTGAAGCTGATTTTGATGTTTTTTCATCAAAATTTATTTTTCAACCTTTACTTTTAGGTCGCTAAGAACAATTATATAAAAATTTTATTCACAAATTACTTCTCGTTTATAAATGTGCTGGGCCGTGAGTTTTTTTTTACACCTAGGAGACCACGTGGGCCCCCCCACCTCCTCCCCGCGTTCTTCGCTGGCCATGTGGGCCCCAACGAAGACTTCCTCGCCCTCCCCGTACCTCGTACAGAACCGGCCACTGTGGCAGGCGTCATCGCGTCGGCCTCATGCATGCCGACGCTGCCCATCCAGTAGTCGCTTGCCACCTCGCCTTTTTTTCCCGTCGTCCGTGCCGCGCCAAGTCGCCAACACCGATGCACCCGGTGCACCGCCTTGCCTTCTCGCGCTCCAACTCCCGCGGTCGACAGTCCACGCCGAAAGTGTGAGCCGAGCTCACCCACGCCGCGTCGCCACTGTCGCGTCGCCTCGCCTCCCCTGTGCCGCCATGCCTCCTTCCATCCCCTCGAAGCCACCGCGTCGCCATTCGCCATGGCTATAGAAGCCACCTCGCTCCACCATCCTCCATCTTTCGCCATTCCCATCGCCACTACCGTCTTCGCTCTCCCCTAGTCGGCCCGAGGCGCGCGGTCGGGCACTTCGAAGCCGCACGCCGGACCCGCGCACCGCTCGGCCGCTTCACCGCCAGCACCTCCATCGCCGCCTCTGCTCCACCTTCCCGAGCCAGCTCGCCACCAGTGCCGCCATCACTCACCCCGCCATGCCACCGCCTTCTGGCTAATTCTCTCGCCGCCATCACCCTCTTCGCCGTCGGCCAGGGTGCCGCCGCGCTCGGCCAAGCCGGCCCCCGCGCGAGCGCCGCCCTACGGCCGATTGCTCGCCCGTCGCCCTGAACCCCGGCGCTCCATCGGCGGAGCTTCCCCAGCCGCCTCCGCCTCCGCTTGGCCGGAGAGCCACCGAAGCCGCCGCCGCCGCCGCCGTCTTCATCTTGCTCCGGGCCGCCGTCGCGCCGCGTCGGGAGACGCCCGCTTGCGCACCTCCCCTCGGACGACACCCGCCGGGCCTCTCCGTCTCCTCACTCCGGCTCCTCCGTCCAGCCGCCCTCCGCCGCCGCCCCGAGCCACGCCTCGCTCTCTTCCGCTCGGGCGCGCGCGCGTGGAGAAAGAAAAGCGGATCGGGTAAAGAACGAGAAGAGGAGAAATCGAGGAGGAGGGGGAGAGAAAGAAAGGAAAAGAGGAGATGCGACACTGACAGGTGGGACCATCGAGGGCTTAATGATTCCTTAATTAATCCTACACAGTAATCATCGCCATCTTAATCCGCTTCTACTGTCTCAATGACATGTGGGCCCGGTTGTACTTAATCTCTAACTAAACTCCCTTTTAACTCTTGAGTCACTTACATGTGGGACCACGATTCCTTAACCATTTGCGCACCCGGTCCACATGCAGACATGCTCCTTGTCACTGACCCTTGGGCCCCACACGCACTGACCATGGACCGTGAGCCGGTCCACCACCTCACCTCACGGTCTACCGTGCGCCGACCCCCCGGTGCCACTGTGAGTGGGCCCACAAAGGAATATTCCTTCGGAATATTTTTTCCCCATGAAAGAAACTCTTTTTCCTTTGCTCAAAAATTTATTTAATCTTTAAAATTTCATATCTTGCAAATCGTAACTCTGTTCGACTCCGTTCAATTTCCATAATTTTTCTAAAATTGAGATCTGTCCAACGGCACAATTAGTTTATAATAGTTATTATCTACTTTATAGGGTTTTGAATGGTTCTCTCTTTTCAAGTGCGTAGTGGATGTTTTGGGGTTCAATGGATGCGGATTCTCTCGAAGATTTGAAGATCATGAACTAAGGCAAGCCACTCTTCAATCATATTGTCCCTAGTTTATAATATGTGTTGATTACAAATTGCATGATTGGTGTACATCTTTTTGTAAGCAGCCTCACTCTATGAACATGATTGATGGACCAACCTAGTAGTTGAATTATTTTCTATAGGTTACCGTTAAACTTAACCCTTGTCGTCCAACCAAATTGAACCATCACATGACACACATGCCCCCAAACAGGACAGCAATTAAAGGTAACGAGATAAAAGAATTGAAATGAACAGATGATAGAATCAAACCGTATAAACAAAGCAACACATGCGAGAGAGGGGGGAGAGGGCACCTGGAAAAGGAGGAAAGGATTGCTGCTGCACAAAAGGAGAGGGAGGGCCGTGCTTATTTCTGAGTAGTGATTTTTTTGCGGGGATTTCTGAGTAGTGATTACATGGTTTTTTTTTTACCGAAAAGGTAGAGAGGCTCTACCTTATAACCATTGTATTAATGGTGAGTCAAAATGGAACAATGTCAAGAAACAGGAAAAGGGGATAGAAATAAGGATAAAAGGATAAAAAAGGAAGAAAAAGGAAGAAGAGAACAAAAAAAAATAAATATAGTAAGAAAAATATGCAGAGAAAATTCAAAAGGTGAAATAAGAAGGAAGATGAGGATATTATCGCAATCACCTAGGATGTGTTCGCTCCTCCTGGTTGGGAACACTCCCCTCTGGTATGGAAAACAGAGCAGTCTATTAGCGCGTGATTAATTAAGTATTAGCTATTTGTTTTTTCAAAATTGGATCAATATGATTTTTTTAAATAATTTTCGTATAGAAACTTTTTGTAAAAAATACACTATTTAGTAGTTTGAAAATTGTGCGCTCGAAAAACGAGGAGGATGGGTTTGGAAAACAGTGATAAGAACACAACCCTAGTCTTGAATTGCAGCTTGGTGACGGTGGTTGATTCGGTGTTCCCAAAGTTCTAGACAATCGATGATCTGATATAGTATGATCTGATTAGCGCAAGTCGTGCGCATTTCTGGCCCACGTGAGGCTCACACCCTCGTGTAGCCATCTCTTTCTTTTTTTTTCTTTTTTCTCGCTTATTTTTTTCGTCGCAGGGAGGCCGTGAACATTTCTTGCCATTTTTTCCGTTTATTTTTTTATTTTAGAAATTGAATCTTTTATCTTTAATTTTTGCTGAAAGTTTTGAATTTGAGTTGAAAGTTTTTAAGACTTGAGTTGAAAGTTTTTAAGTTTTGAGATGAAAGTTTTCAAATTCGAGTTAAACATTTTTTAATATGAGATGAAAGTTTTAAATATGATTTGAAAGTTTTCAAATCTTAACTTAAATAGTTGAATGTTTTTAAGATTTGAGATGAAAGATTTTAAGTTTTGAGATGAAAGTTTTCAAATTTGAGTTGAATGTTTTTGAATATGAGATGAAAGTTTTTAAATATGATTTGAAATTTTTTAAATATTTAGTTGAAAGTTTTTAAATTCGTGCTGAAAGTTTTCAAATCTTGACTTGAATTTTTCAAATCTGACTTGAAAAATTTCAATTCAAGATTTGAAAGTTTTAAAATCTGAGTTGGAATTTTTAAATTTAAGTTGAAAGTATTCAAATCTTGACTTGAAAATTTTTAGATCTTAGTTCAAATCTAGACTTGAAAGTTTTTAAATCTTAGTTGAAAAGTTTCCAAATCCTGGATAAATATGAGTTGAAAGTTTGTTGCAGTCAACTAAACAAAGAGAAGAAACAGACACAGCAAATTTTTATCCCAAAAAAAAAGAAACCATATAAAAAGGATGCTAAGCACCGTTAGCGAAAAAAGGGGCTAAGCACTATTAGCCCTGCTAAAGTGCGTGCCGCCTCTGTTCGTAGCGCGGAACAGGAACACCCCCCCCCCCTCCCCGGGCAACCTGATTTTAGGTTAGCAGGCCCCACTGTCATCGTATGCTGCACAAATTGCAGGATGTCTTTACTGCGGATAGCTTGTTCATAGAAGTTTAACTTCTTCCATACTCGCTCAGCTAGCTTGCAACGCAAAATAATATGATTTGTCGTTTCGATGGTTGGGCAAATGCTACAATGTGGGTCGGAAGCCCACGCTTTTTAACCCAGCTGCCATTGGTGTTGAGTCTATCACGAAATGCTAGCCATAAGAAGATCCTACAGGTATTAGGGATTGCTTTCAACCAGATGAATGGTGCCGGTGGCCAGAGCATACCATGATGCGTTATCAGGTTAATTATAACATATGCTCCAGTCGGCAGTCGTGATTCCCATTGAGCTTAGAAGTAAGGTTCGTTCATCTGGCGAATCGTTCTGGATCTGTTGAGTTGATAGCAGTGGCATAAGCAATTGTAATTATGCCTGTGCTTGTTCTGATAACACTAGATGGAGGTCAATAGACCAAGAGCCATTTTTTCTGAACTGCGATGATACTATGCAGTTGGGGTTGTGTTGACGGAAAACACGACAACCTGGGGAAACTGCTTAACTCCAGTGCAGGTCAAAGGTTTGCCTCGAGTGTGCTAAGGGCGTACCAGCTGGTTTGATCCTGCAACCAGCAAGGAAACAATAAAGCATGATTAGTCAGCCGATAGCCGATCGGCCGATAGGCCGATAGCATATTAATGGTGGTCTCAGCCGATGTAGACCAAATTGGCTATAGACTAGATAGATCAAAGAATATAAAACCCTAAACATGCCTCATCGGCTGTAACATTGCTAATCAAGTTTAATAAAGAAGTTCAAGACAATATTACGAAAATAGCCAATGAAACCGTATTTAGAGCAGAAAAGATAGATAAAGATAGCGTACCAGCTAATACTCTAGTACAAACCTATATATGCAAATCAATCTATAGTAATATATCAAGTAGGGATCAATTGTCAAATTGATAGCCCAGCCGATATAACCTAGACTTGATATATTCCTATAAGGTGATCTGTCTATATGGATGACAAATATACACGACTAGGGATGATGCAGCTCAAAGTATGAAAAGAAGCTTAGAGTCTAAACAATTAAGGAATTAAACACCTTTCAAGATGGTAGATGCCTTAGCTAATCTAATCTAGCAAGACGATTTAGCCGATACCGGCAGAAACCCTAAAGCGAGAGACAACTGATAGAGCTAAATCGAGATAGTAAAGCTAGATTAACTAAGACATATGATATCAATGGTCATGATACAAGGACTAAAATATCTAAAGCGATATAATAGCCCTAATAGCACAAGCCATCGAGACAGATTACCTCTTGTGGATAGAACTCACCGAAACAAGAAAAGTAAAAGGGTGGCGATGTGCCGAAGTTGTATTGGATTGTTCGTCCTCTATTGCAATTCTATGGGGTTTATATTTATACCCCCGAGTATATGCAAGAATTTAATTTAATAATTCGGAATTAATAAGCCTCCCGTATAGCTCTTTTCATGATTTACTCATTCTAAACTAAAATAATATAGTGTTGTATTCGGTGAGTGGTGATGGGCTACAATTTATTCATGATTTACTAATTAATTCCAAAATTTATATTTAATAATGTTGAATTGTACTTGGTTTGGAGTCTGAATATCTCATTGATTTAGTAATTACAAATTTCAAAATAAAGATATTTATATGATTTTCAGAACCACTACAGCTATTTGTACTCATGTTGGAGTCTTAATTCAATATTTTACTTAATTTATTAACTCTAATATTTGAAATAAATAATTGTGAGTTGTACTTGGTCTGGAGTCTTGTTATTAGATGTTCAGCGACACGTTTTATCAATCACGTAAATTGGACATATGCTCTAAAAGTGGCCAGATAGCTGTAGTAGGCATAGCAAATGTTAAATGATTGAAGTGCCTCACAATGTCAAATTTGAATAGATTTCAATCTTAAAAGGGAAAATTCTGAAGTTTTTAAATTATATTTGTCAACGGAATTATTTATTGGCTGAAACATAACATATATAATTTTTTGCATGAAACATGCAACTGATTTATTAGTGTGATTACTCGTATGGAAAAATGACATATGTGGACAAAAACGCAACGACACGATCATCATCGGTAAATTTTGCTACACTGCTATTTTATGGTTTTAGCTCTAGGACACCATCTGAATCACTTTTGGGGAAAACACTTCATAAACGTGGTAATTTGCCAATAGACACCGTGCCGATTAGAATAATAATTTCCGGTGGAAGAGAAGAGAGAAATCGCGTGAAATGTCAAAAATGCCCTTGAGCCCACATGTCAGCTCTCCATCTCTCTTCTCTCTTAATCCCCTCCTTCCAGCGCCGCAACGCATGCCACCGCTTCGAAACACCTCCTTCTCCTCCACGCTCCAGTCCCAGGCGACGCGGACGACGACGACAGGGAACGGTGGCGGCGGCACGCTCCAAATCTGACCGGCACAGCTTCGGCGACGCCGCCCTCGTCATTCTCCTCCTACGGCCGACCTTCTCGGACCTGCTCCATCGTGGGCGGCTCGCGCCCTTCCTTACTCTGCTCCGCTGCGCTGCGCGCACGCCAGCCTCACCGTCTCATTCGTCGTCTCGAGCTCGTCGCGGCGGAGGAGATGGCGAGGACGGCGAGGAGAGTCGCATCGTCGTCGCCAACTGCGGCCACTCCCACAGCGGAGGACGGCCAGGACGGCGGGGGCGGCGGAGAACGTGGAGAAGGAGACGGCGAGGATGGCAAGAGCGGCCGCCATGGCACTCGCGGCGGGAGCGGCAAAGGATGGCGAGGAGAAAAGCCGCGTCAAAGTCGCCAACTGCGGCCACTCCCGCGGCGGAATGTCTCCATGGTGCTCGACACCAGCTTCACCTCTGCCGCCATCCGCGATGTTGACTTGTACCGCGCCGAGCCCTGGGACCTCCTACCGCCGCGTTAGTCCATCGTCATGCACGCTTTGGCCTGAGATCGACTGCGACGACATTGCTTGCACGAGGAGCTTCGGGTGCCCATCGGGAATGAGGACGAACAGGGCCACGACGACATGAACAGGGGCACCTTTCCTTCATCTCCCAAGGTGTGACATGTGAGAGAGGAGAGATAGCAATGCTGACATGTGGGCCCAAAGGCATTTTTGAAATTTCACGCGATTTCTCTCTTCTCTTCAACCGGAAATTATTATTCTAATTGGCGCGATGTCCATCGGCAAATTACCACGTTTATAGAGTGTTTTCCCCCAAAAGTGAGCTCGGGCGGTGTCCTTGGGCTAAAACCACACAATAGCAGTATCCTGTAGCAAAATTTGCCATCATCTAAAATGGACAATACATGTTCTCAGCTTAAAAGTGAACATATCTTATGCATACATGTAGATGGTATATAATATGATACATACTACATATTACATATGAGGTTTAGATTTTATTACATGTAGGTGTCCAACTATTTGCAAATGCTCCCTCCGTTCTATAAAAAAAAATCAACTTTTGGATATGAATCACGTCATGTCTGGATTCGTAATCAGAAGTAAGTCTATTATGGGACTGAGGCAGTACATGAACAATTTTCTTCATATAACTCTTTAATGACATTTGCTAGTTGATGGACGACAAAATGTGCACGCAAAGCTTAGTTGTATGCACGAAGTGTGCAACAAAAAAGGGCATCGGTTCATTTGTGCCCAAGAGTCAGAAGAAAACTAGAGAATCCCTTTGATAGAATATTTGAAAGATCCTAGTCTTAGGGTTGATCAAAAAATTCGGCGGCAAGTATTCAAATATACTTTGCTTGATGGGAGTTGTATCGTCGAAATATAAGTTGGGTGTTGTTAAAGTGCTTAGATAATGATCAATCCAAGGTTGCTATGGGAGAAGTGTGTGAAGGGATTTGTGGAACTTATCAATCAGCCCATAAGATGAATTGATTACTTAGGAGAGCGGGATTTTATTGGCCGAAAATGATTGATGATTATTTCAAATATTATAGGGGATGCGAAGCTTGTCAATGGTTCGGCACTGTTCAATCGGCACTTGCCGTTGTATTGAATCCTATCATCAAACCATGGCCGTTCCGAGGTTAGGCTTTGGATTTCGTGCTAGTCGCAACGGATTATTTCACTAAGTGGGCCGAAGCCGTGCCACTCAAGAATATGACTTATACAGAGGTAATTGACTTTATCTTGAAGCATATTGTTCATAGATTCAGTATTCCTCAAACTTTGACTACAAATCAAGGACCTTCTTTCATATCCAAGGAGGTGAAAAGTTTTGCCAAATCTTATGGTATTAAGTAGTTGAGTTCTTCTCCTTACTATGCTCGGGCTAATGAACAAGCCGAGTCGAGTAACAAGACATTGTTGAAATTGGTCAAGAAGGAGATTGAAGAACATCCAAAGAGGTGGCATGAGGTGCTTTCCGAAGCATTATAGGCTCATAAGATATCCAAATATGGTGCTACCAAAGTTATCCTTTTTTGAGTTGGTTTATGGACAAGAAGCCGTTTTGTCGGTAGAGGTGAATCTCGGATATCTTAGATATATAAAGCAAGACGATTTGTCGATTGAAGAATACAAGACCTTGATGGGAGGCAATCTTGATGATGTGATCGATAAGCGTTTAAAGGCTTTGGAAGAAATAGAGAAAGAGAAAAAGAGAGTAGCTAAGGCTTACAACAAATTGGTGAAAGCAAAGTTGTTTCAAATAGGAGATTTAGTACGGAAGACAATTTTGCCTTTGGGTTCTCGATCTAAGGAGTTCAATAAGTGATCACCTAGTTGGGAAGGTCCTTATCGAGTATATGGAATTGTTCGAGCAAATACATACTTTTTGGAGACACTTCAAGGATAGCGTTTTTAGAGAGCAATCAATGGGAAAATACTTGAAAAAATATTTCCCAAGCGTTTGGCAAGACGCTTAGGAGGTCCTATGGTCGTTAATTGGATTATCGTCATAAGATATCATGTTCTATGCTTTTAGGTTCACAATGTTCACCAAAAAGGCAGCGGGGCATGTGTTTACACCCAAATTTGGCACCTAGGTTCAAAATAAGGAAAATCGCCAAGATTTGGGAAAGTCGTCAGTTTCCTCTACAGGGCCGATCTGACCACCGTGTATTGCCCGGTCAGATCGTTGCTTGAGGACCGGTTTGACCGGTGGCATGTGGCCGGTCAGACCGGCAGTCCGAAACCGACTCTGTTTTCGTCGGGTCTTGGGATTTCTTGCTTGGGAAGGCATGTGGACTGGTAGGAGGCAAGACCAACCCCTATTTAAGGGCCAAGGCCGATTCGATTAATCCCTCTCCCCCAAACACAATCAAAACGTTCTTTTATCTCTACTTTTAGCCATGTTTTCTACTTTACTCTAGTTTTAGTCTATCTTTATCGATTTGTGCCGTAAATCGTCCGCCGTCGCTGCAAGGGTGTGATTACCCCTTTGTAAGTTTATCCCGTAAACCTTCCGTTTGCTCACGAGATGTGTAGTTATCCTCATATAAAACTAAATCGGCTTAGAGGCTGATTTTGATCTCTAAATCGGCTCCGCTAGCCGGTTTAGCCGTTTTCTAGAAAACCCACCTTGATTTGTCCCTTTGGCTAGATCGGGGTGATTGGTGATTCCATATTACCACAAGGTGTTTAGGTGTCCTGATCGTGATTGTCTTCTTGTCAGAAAAGTTGCCAACAAAAATCTCAAGATCCTTAAATCAGGTGGTGGCCATGTCTTCAAGGAAGTGATCTCTGTTGATGTCAAAAACATCAACTCCTTACTTTTAGTTTGAAGAGAAGGTGGGCCATGGTTGAAGGAGTTTGACCACCACACTTCTATTGCCTTGTACTGTTCATGGATCAGGACAGGATTCAAGTTGATGCTCAGCACTGACACCTTTGCAAATGGCTCCAGGGAGAGATGGCCCATATCATGAGATCTTCACCACTACGCTTCCACTGCCTTGAGTAAACCATGGATCAGGCCATGGCAAGGGCTGAGAACCTAAGAAGACTTGATCTTTGTATCATAGAACTGCCACTCCATGGTGGTACCAGTTGAGAGCTAGCTATGCATACTGAGCCCAATACAAATGCAACAGTAGAGTACTTCCAACTTACATGAAATGAAGGAGAGGCCGATAACACCAAGGTCACGGCTCAAGCACCAAATCAAGTTCCTGGGAGGAATTGCATTGAGGGCTAACCATGGATCTCTGCAGCATAATTACACAGGGGTGAACCTGGTATCAAGTTCAATGAGCTCAATCCACTCATCGTCGGCCATGTTTTTGCCATCATCATCAACCAACTAGTTCTTACACTTCATTGAACAATCGATGGTTGTCCCCATGCCAAGCTTGACAGAGTCAATATGGTTGGTTGAGTCGGCCTCAGCACTGACCTCCAATGCGATGGAAGTTGGATCAGTGTTAGTGCTCAATGTTGCCACATCTCTAGTGGAATCCTTGCTCACGGGTGAATCCAACCTTGGTGTCGTGACATGCCTCCAGCACTCGATCGATCATGGCCATCATCTTGATGCACAGGTCTTGAATGATCTTGTCTGAGTTCTCCACCGCCTTGTCCATTTCAGTGTCGGCCTTCATGGCCTCGATGAGAGAAGCCGAAGTCGTTGTGGCCGCTGATGTGGTTGGGGCTGTAGATGGACTCAGTGGTTGGGAACACATGTTCTGGTGTGGTAGGAGTGCTCTCGGCATTAGACTTTGTGGTGGCACATCTTGGTACCAGTGTCAAACACTTGGTAGGCGCAGTGTCGGCTCTGTCTCCGAGCATGGTCGGCACATGTTGCACATCCAGCACGCAGCCCCCATCATAGATGTTGTGGCCGTGGAGGTCAAACTGAGCCCTCCCCACGTCGCAGGTCGCCCGAAACCAAATGATTGCCTCCACACGCCATGCATCAACCATAAGCATCTGCACCGCCACTACTCCATAGGGGTTGAAGACTTGGTGCATCACGTCGGTAGAAACAGGGTAGATGAGGTGGCTCACTTGGACATGGAGTGCAGCACTTGCACCACATCCCAGCCGGCTCGGTTTCATCGAACACTTGGTAGGTGCCTCCATCACTGACGCCTCCATGACCCAAATCCCACTCCCAGATGTTGCCACTACCATCACGCATCGCCCACCTCGTCTCCTTGCTCGGAATACCATGGATCGGTGGTTCTGATCCCATATTGTCACGAACCAAGCACCACCCAACCAATTCTCAACGCACAGAGGCCTCAATAGATTGCAACCACTCCAAATACAAGTGTTTTGGGATACAAATTGAGGGGAATGAGAGGTATAGACTAGGAAGCGAAATCAGACAAAGAGGAAGCAGGAGATTGGGACTAGAGAAAAGTAATTTAGAGGGGAGGCGGCAGCAAGGAGGAAGAAGCCATTTTCATCCAATTATGTTCGATCCTTCTCCAACTACAGTTGCCTCTTATATCAGCTTCCCTTCCAGCCATTTGGGCCTAGGCATGCCCTTGATGCTCCGCCCAGGAACCCTGTTAGGCCCATATCGTGACAGAGGTACTGTAATATACGGACGTATTACAGGAATGTGTGTTTGTCACTAGGAGGATAATATAGCTAGTGCATGCGATGTGAATTTATTTTTCCTTTTTTTGCGGGGAGCTTGTGAACTCAGCGAATCATACTCCTTTTTTTTTTGTCGAGGAGCACGTGATTTTATTTTATTTTATTTTTTTGCCGGGAGAATTTATCTGACTAGGGTTACTAATCACTCGATCCAAAATTCGTTCCTGACAGCTAGCACGAGGGAGCCGCGGCACGGTGGTGGGGCAAAAGTAAAGATGTTAGACGCTGGTGCTGTGATCTCAGATTTCTTCTTCAAATGGGGTCAAGAGAAATACATCTTGCTTCGCTTCCGAGTCATAGTGCCAACCCTCATTGTTGTGTGCCCGTTGGTGCAGTTTGGCTTAATAGATGACTTAAACAATACTATCGATCCGGCCATGAAGAGCTTCTTGTATGCTGTGTCTGATGGCATACTGATGTATGTTCTAGGGGCCATGCAAGCCTCTCCTGTAAAATATGCGCTGTTTCCAGTGTGGGCTCTTGCTCTAGTCGGCTTCCGTTCTATCTTGGTAGGCCTCCACGGGAAGTACGACATGCAGGCGGAGCTGGGAAATGTGGCCAAACTTTTGATCGTGGCGTATATGAATGTAACACACGGCTGCGAGATTGGGCGTGTCCCTTTCTGGATCTACTGGAGCATTTTGGTCGTCAAGTGCATGTACAGGATTGTGATACGCCATCAAGCATCCAAGACCTTATGGCATAGCCGGAGTTCAGAGCTTCTTCAGGCGTACATGGGTCCCAACCAGCCCCAGAGCAACTTTGTTGACAACAATTCAAGCCCAAATGGCGCCATGGAAGGGTGCAAATACTTGGTCTTTGGAGAGTCAGAGCAAGAACAATGCTCCTGCAGAATTAGCCCTACGAGACATGTAAATATTAATAAATTGAGGTCTCTAGTTACATTACAAAACATTTGTCAATGCCTTAAGGAGGACAACATCGTGAAGAAGCAAGCTGAAGTATTGAAGGATGTGTGCCTGTCCTTTGCATTGTCTCGGTTACTACGGTGTAGGCTGGAAGGAGCAAGATTACATGCAGGCATAGATTCCATTAACCGGAAGCTACTGATTGGCAGTTATAAGGAACGTCTCGACCGACTATTCAAAGTCCTGTATAGGGATGTTAAGTTTTTCAAGGACTGCCTCTTCAGCAATTACCCGATGATCTTCTCGGAAGGGTTTCTCTCACTCAGGTTTGCTTTTGCGCAGCTTATGATCAAGTTACCTGTGGGCTTATGGCTTTCCAGTGATCTCTTTTGGGCAGCAAGGCACCTGTCCCAAAACAGGCATAATTTATCTGCTACCGATCTGAACATCGCTGGGGCTGCCATCCTCATCGTAGTAAATGTGGATGATTATGGAATGGGCATCAACTTTGTAAACTGGACGAGCTTGTCTGCTGTGTGCTGGTTGGTTCATTGCAGAAACAGGAGAAAGAGATTGAGGCTTGTTAGGTGGTTTCTTGGTAGGTTAAATTCGCAAGAGGTGAGAGGTGGTGCATTTAGAGGCCCTCTTGATAAGTTAATAAATTCGCAAGAGGTGAGAAGTGGTGGATGTAGAGGCCAGTATGCCTTCCTGCAATCATACAAATACAGTGCGTGGAAGCGTAGGCTGTTGCACTCACTTACTATGGGAATGATCGCAAGTAAGGACGATGGCACAAACTTTGCCACCTCCCTGACTACGCCTGAGAAAGTACGTACTACCGTACTCTCTCAAGAACTCCAAGGACTAGATCTACACCACGATTTTTCTAGCAGCGTCGACGACAACCATTCCCTACCAAGAGACTTCTTTGCAACAGTGCAGCACGACGCCAACAAACCAGCAGAAGCGGAGGAGCAGTACTGGTCCGAGATCATCCAAAGTGGGGCACCCAGATGCTCCCATGTTATTCTGATCTGGCACATTGCAACAAGCTTATGTGAGATCAAGCTTGCCCAAGAACATGATCATTGCAATGGCAGCCCTGGATTCCTGCACTCTGCCTTGTCATGCTATCGCCGTAGGCGCAATCCTTACAGAGGATACCTTGTGGATAAGTTGCTGGATGGTGACCTATGGGAGACCTACATGGTAGCGAATTGGTTGTCGCGGTACTGTGCGTACCTGCTGGTCGCAAAGCCTGACCTGCTGCCCGGGAGCATTTGGGTTATCAAGAAGGACTTCCAACAAACAATTCAGTGTGCTCGTCAGATGCTCCATGGTTGTACCTCACTCAAGAGCATCTATGACAAGCTCATCGCGACAATACCATCCCAGTTGGAGGAGGCGTATCTTCCAGGCACAGAAGAGGAGGGTAGCCAGATATTGCGAGAAGGTGCAAGGCTAGCCAAGAAGCTCCACGATGAAGACAAAAAGAAGCAGTGGGAGATCCTAGCCAAGGTGTGGGCTCGCTTGCTTGTGCATCTTTCACCTAGCTCCGATGCACAAGTCCATGCCAAGCATCTCAGGTCCAACATGGAGTTTATCACCATCATCTGGGCACTCTTCTCACACTGTGGCATCGACAAGAGTGAATTGTGGGATTATGTGTCAAAACATCCAAGCAAGATGCCCACCTTGACAACATCCGTCCAGATAGTGATGGAGAAATACAAGAAACTAGTGGAGCATCCGAGCAAGACGCCCACATTACGAACATCCGCCTCCGGTCCACCTGCCACCAACCCACTGGCGGTGACCTTGAGGATGGTGGTGGAGAAATTCAGGAAATGAACCATGGTAACTAGTCGTCCTACTCCCTCTGCCACATCCTCAAACTCCCCTGGTGCATAAGCTCTGATCCCACTAAGCTTTCAGCAATAAACTTTTTTTTTCGAGAAGTTTTGGGTAACACTTTCATCCCATATTTCATTTCATTCAGACAATTTGTGTTTGTCTTACTGTGACGAGTGAAAGTGTGGTTGCTGCTTGAAGAACATGGTGTGTGATTGTAGTGAACTGAACTATATTGTTGTGTGTGGATTGCTATTGAATCCATTACTGTGAGTTCAAAACCCTTTGGATTTGAATAATAATGGTATGCACGATATTAGTTTCTTGGTATATATAATTTATCATTGTTACATTCTAGGGTTTTTTAGATAATGGATTTAAATAAAACCCGGCATCTACATCCCAAGAGATGTACACAGCCATTGTTACATTCTAGTATATCCTTGTGCATCAGATTAGTTGTTCACTTGCCCTCCATCCTATGAGGAGGTTAATTAGGATGGGCACTAAGGACTGTTCTCTGTGTCTTTTCTCTGAGTCAATGTGTGTAAACTGTAAAATACTGATGGTTGGCCTTTCAGTCAGGTGGAGTAAAGGGCTCATGACATGGCCTACACTGTGGTAGTTTGATTTTTATTCATAGACAAAAATCAGTTACACCCCGCAAATAATTAGCTAGCCTACGCAATTCAGAAATATTGAGCTGCGTCCTCTTACCACTTGGGAGGAGCAAGCAGCAGCAGCTGACCCAAAAAAAAAAACATTACTGTGCATGGTTGCTTTGCCTTGTCCTGGAGAAGCAGTTTTCATTTTGTAATCATTTCAACCTGGTTATATCCAGATAACAATCTAAAACCACATGTTTCATCAATTTGGGTTATGAAAGGCCTCGCATAGATTAGTGATTCCAAGGATTACACTCAGTTGATGTGGACCCCCGTTTTTATAACAGGAATCAATCGTGTAAATAGTACCATTTCCCTGGATCAAGTAGTCTGGTACACACGAACTCATAGCTGAAATATCAAGTGCACATACACGAGAGTCTAGTACGAATTATTACATCATAAGCCCGCAGGCACAGTCTTAAATCATCGGACCGAGCGGTCCGGAATACATTCCAAAAACAGAAGTAGGTAAGGCAGCGGAGTTAAGGCAGCGGCACTCCATTGCCACAGGCAACGACCGTAACTAAGACCTACTGGGCGCCATCGTCTTCATCACCCTCCTGGTAGTAAGCGTAGGGATTCTCCGAAGCTTCATCTCCGACCTCTGATTAAGTTTGTATATTGCAAGAGTGAGTACCAACCGTACTCAGCAAGCCACCACAGCAACAATGCACATGACAAGGGTATTCAAAGGATGGCTAAGGTTCTTTTGCGCAAAGCAAGTTTTGTAATTCTTGTCACAAGCCTAAGACTTAGCACAGACTGATCAAATTTTAGTACCAGTGTTTTCATTAAACAACGACGGTTCTGTCCACCATCCATTGTGATCCCAAGGATAGCTTCCCGCCATTGAGTCGTCATGGTTTTCTGAGGACGTCCACATTCCCGCCTCTCAGGAAGTGGCTCCATCAGCATAAAAATCATCATGTAATATCCCATCCCACACAAGTTAAAGAATTTAGAGTCTAGCCAAGTGTAATACATGTCCCAGTGCTCAATAACCGCGAGCACAGCTATTCGAATATATTTAGTTTACTCACACTGCAGTGGATGTACACTCTACCCGTACTCCGCGACTGCCCAACACATGAGCCTCGTCCCAACACATGAGACACGTCACGGCAAAGCTTTTCGATAACCTCGCATTGGCAGTACCCGCTCCATGAACTTAAATCCTCATGCACTCTAGGCGTCCATGTTTCTAGCAGTGAGAGGAGTTCTGGCGCTCCCGGGAAAGAGAAGTCTCACACACATATTAAATTATGGTTCAAGTTAAGTTCTCTCTCTCACACACTCATGGCAGTCCTACCAATGGCGACACCGATGTAGGGCACGCCTCTCGGCCCTACCTCAACGGCTGTCCCACCGTAGCGCACCTGCCTCACTCAGGGGTGAACCATCTATGCAGGGATACTGCCTCCGCTCGACTATCTAATCCGCTAGGTCTATACCCATACGAGAAGTACGGTTGTACGGGGGTCGTTTCATGCTTAACTTCATGGCTCGGTCCTTAATTGACCGGGGACGGTACTAGCCTTTTCCAGATACCACCCAAATCCTCTATCCGCCCCAGTCGAAAACAATTGTTTAATTTTATTTCTCCTTTCACAAATCATGTCATCAACATCATGGCAATGTGGTGCTCATGTCTCCACATGCCGCATCTCAATTACCTTCCCAAAGGTAATTGCCCAAGCATATAGCATTTGATAAATATGAGTATGCATGATTTTAGAATAACATTTCTAAGCAATTGTCATAATTGACTAGGGACTCATACGTAAACATGGTTACGAAGGAATAAAAGACAAACAATAATCAAGGCATGGCATAATCACAAGTAGGATGTTCATCATTGCATGCAATTTTATTTGTAAACAAAACAATTTCGCAATTGGGATCAACATGTTCAAGGAATAGTGATGACTTGCCTTGCTCAAAGTCTTGCGGTTCTTGGTCCTTGCTTGGATCCGTAACTCCCTCGGGCTCTAAAATTACGTGCGAAGAAACGATTTGAATTCGGTTAAAATTCAAATAAAGATCCAATAAATCCAAATGGAAGTCGAATGCGAAAGTTGATTCTTTTATATTAACTTTACTATTCGCGAACTAGGGCAAATCCAATTTCGATTTATACATCCTAAACTATTTTGCGGGTATAAATATTTTGTTAGCATAAGCTTTTAATTTAATCTACCCGAGCATTATATCCATATAATAGGTTAGAAATTTTCTATCGCGAGCTAAATATCGGACGGAATCCAAAAATTATCTTATAATATTATATGATTTAATTTAGCCTATGACTAACCGATTAAATATAATATACGTCTAAAATTCCTAGTGATTAAATCCGAACTTCTACCGTGAATCGATTACTTATAGAGATTATCCAAAACTAATCTGTAATAGTCTATAAAAATTCATCTAATTGTTTAGTCGTTAATTACATCTAAACTACTACCGCGAATTGATTTCTTTTAGAAATTACCAAGAATAATCTATAATTTATATTAAATTTTGCAATTCTATGACCATAATTAATCTATAATTAAATTCTAATTATTTTAGATTTTTCTTAAACTATTAACCTCCTTAATTTCTTCCTAATTTTCTATTTATTTATCCTTTTCTTTTTCTCCATTCTCTCTTCTCTTTTTCTTTCTTTTTCTTTCTTCTCTCTTTTTCTTTCTTTTCTTTCTTTTCTCTCTCTCTCTTTTTCTTTCTTTTCTCTCTTTCTCTCTTTTTCTCTCTGGCGGCCTCTCTTTTCCTCTCCCTCTCTCTCTCGGCTCTCTCCCACCCGAGCGGCGGCGGCGGTGGACGCGAGGGGGAAGGAGGGCGGCTCACCGGCGGCGGCAGCGGCGACGACGGCGGCAGCGACGGTGGCGCACGGTGGCGCGGGAGCGGCGACGACGGCGGCAGAGCGGCGCGGCGGCACGAGAGCGGTGGCGCAGTGGAGAGGGAAGAGGGGAGGAAGGGTGAGATGGGGTGGGGGAAAATGGAGAGAGGGGGGGTATTTGTAGAGAGGGGAGAAGGAGAGGGGGAGGGGCTGCGGCGTAATGGCGACGCGACAGCGACGCTCGGGGCGGGACGACGGCGACGCGCGGGCGGCGACGCGATGGCGGCGCGGGGCTCGGAGCGACAATGCGACGGGCGGCGGTGCGGGGCTCGAGACGGGCGACGCGACGGGTGGCGTGAGGCTCGACGCGGCGATGGTGACGGCACGCGGCGATGGGACGGCGACGCGGCGATGGGACGGCGACGCGGCGAGTGGCGAGTGAGCGGCGTGACAGGCGAGGCGACGTGACGCGCGCGGCGGCACGGGGCTCGGCGCGATGGAATGGGCGGCGCGGCAGCGGCGCAGGGCGACGGCGAGGGGACGGGCGCGCGGCGGCTCAAGGCGCGATGCCGACAGCGACGCGACGGTGACGGCGCGGTAGCGGCGGCGGCACGCGCGACGGGCAGGTGACGCGGCGCACGCGGCATGAAAGGGGACGGGGCCAGGGGGACCACGATCGAACATCTATGCCGCAATGAACAGTAACTTTTTCCTATTTATCCCGATTTTAGCCCATTTTCTATTTAAATATAGCCCTATAAATTCTAATTTTTGCATAAATAAAGTTTACTCCATATTTGTGTTATCCTAACTAAAAATTCACCCTAATTTAATATCACTCATATTTTGTTTATATAATTTATTTGAATTTTTAATTAGGGTTAATTCTCATTCCATCGTACTAAAATTTAATTATTGCTAATATGGTCGCGATAATATTTTATTTATTTCCAATCCCACCTAATCTTTATTTTAATTTATATTTTAATTATTTATTTAGCCAACTTGATTTTTAGGGTTTATTCCTAGTTAGTTATTCATTATTCGCGATTAATAAATTCCGAGATCAAAATCCAATGAAATAGATGAATAAAATCGGCATGATGCAATTTATTACTTAAAAAGTTTTTGAAAATCCATATTTTTGGTGTTTTGATTTCGTTGGTCGAATTTTCAGGGTGTTACAGTTGATGAGTTGCAACTTAAGCTGTACTAAAATTCCTCACCTGTGCTCCGTGGATTTTGCAAGCAATTTCTAGTAGGGGGCAACTACAAACTACAAACCCAACTACATCCATCCTACTGTTCGTCGCATAACCGCAAATCAAACTAACTAAGAATCATATACTAGCCTAGCCTGCATCTTTTTCGTCCCATCAAGAGAGCATCCATTAGGGGGAAGGATTTAGCCAGATCAGGAGACGCACCTGACTGATTCGCCGCCCCGGAATGGCAGCCGCGGCGGTCATCCGTGATGCGGCCGAGCTGCGCCGCGCCGCGCCGCGCTGCCTCTGCTCCGTCCGCGGATCGAGCTAGGGCTGCCCCCGACGGAAGGTGGCCCCCGGAGAAGAAGCCTCTGCGAGGGGAGCCCCTCTGGCCGGAGCAAGGGCACGTACGGCGAGAGTGATGGCCGGAACTGGAGCGGGATCCCTCCTCCCCCTCCGCCTCGCCCCCATCGCCGCCGCCCGCCGGTCACCGGCACGGCGGCGCCTCCGGCGATGAAGGAAGTATAGGACCCACGTTGGCAGCCAATCCAGGCCCATATTTTTTGGTGGAAAGGCGGGTTTTCCATATCCAACCCAACTCAGGCCCATTTCAAGCACACGTGAAGATTTGTAGGGTGGATTAGGTTCACTACCTTAACTAGTGGCCTAATTTAATTCATATCCCTAAACCACAGTACCGGATATTATATTTCGACACCTATATATGCACCTGCACTCATGTGTCCCTGTCAAGGTCACTGACAAGGAGGCTGTCAAGAAGGCGACATCCATCAGAGAGACCGGTGCAGAACAGAAGCAAAAGACCGTGCCGGTTGATGAACAGGAGGGAGCAGGAAAGAACTTGAAGCCTTCAAGACTCGTTAAGCCCAATCGTCGTTTTGTTGGGCCAGAATGGGCCGTGTGAACTTGTAAGCTGGCGTGAGCTGGCAGCTATCTTGAGAGAGGGGTAAGAACTGAGAGAGAGAGAGAGAGTATAAGAACTCTGTATCCGAATTGAATGGTGAATTTTGGCAATCCGGTGGCGAATGGCGGCGGCAGCTCAATCCTGTTGGATTGGAGTAGTAATACCATAGTGGAGATTGCCTAAGTTCCTCGTGTTCTTCTGTGTGTTCTTCCTTGTTCGATTCTTCCAGTTCCTCTCCCTGTGTTCTCGTTCAAGGTCGTTAACAGTCCCACCTTCCGCATGAGCGTGACCTGGATGAGGAGCGAAGCTCAACACTGGTGTTTCCCTCGCGTTTGGCTCAGGAGGCTGTTTTACACGCATGGAGTCGGGCCCGACAGCTGTGCAGGTAACCAAACGACCACCTCCTGCACCCGCACATGTGAGCCACCCTCCCATGTAGATGACCAAACAAATCCATTATGCTAGCTAAGTTCTCGCTTCCCTTGCGTATTTCGGATGTAGATTTTCATCCCTCGTGGATATGTCCTCTTGTTGCTTGTATGTCATTAAAAATATTAAAAAATTAAAAAATAACAAGATAAATTAATATGAAACATATCACTACACAAACATGCAGGGTCAAATTCAATTTCTACAAGTTACAACAAAAAAAATTAATTAAACTAAAAATAGTTATCATACTTTAGCAGATATATTTGTTATTTTTGTTACAACTTGTAGAAGTTGAATTTGCCTTTACATGTTTGTGGAGTGATATATTTCATATTAATATATCTTGTATTTTCTTTTTTAAATTTTTTTAATAACTATTTAGGTAATATGAATGAAACGATGGGATATCCCCTCGAGGGATGAAATCATTTTTTAGTGTATTTCTGTATTATGGTGAGGTGTTGCTGCCTAGCTTGGGTATAATGTAAATGGTGGGAAATTGTAATTTCCGAAATTGCTGAGCTAGCATACATTTACTTTTAGCATTCAAAGTGATGTTGCTTGAGCAATACCATCTAAGAAAATGGAGATAAACCCAGGAACAAAATATGAATACGATTTTTTTCCAATCTTTATCACTACATACATGAACAATCCTGATACCTCCTAAATATATAATACGTACTCCGGTTACCAGAGGGTAGTTGTGTTACATAAATACAGAATCTTGGGCTTTCATATAGCTGGAATGTACAGGACATCGTTGAGGTCAGCTGGGTCTAGCATTTGCTCGCCGTGGCTACCGCTTCCAAGGAATCCTGCGTGGGACAGCAAAGCCCACAGGTGCGTCGTGAGTTCACCTGGCCCACGGAGATGCACGTCGTGCTTGGCCGCCTTGGTGGACGCGGCAAGGTGAAGCAGGAACCCCCTCCAAAACCTGCTCAGGTCTCTCCACAGCGCGACCTGCTCGTCGTCGCCGTACGCCAGCCTCAGTTGCTCCGCCAGCTGCGCGCCCATCTTGACTATCGACCTGCCTTCACTCCCGTCCGGAGTTCTTGCCATCCTTGTCAGGTTTCTGTAGATGTCTGCCATGGATTTGCAACCAGAAATGGCACTGCTGGCCTCTTTCTGCACAACCTCGTAGACCTTGTTCATGACGAGGCCATTGTCCGGCACCAGTGACTGAGTGACCAAGTATGCGCAGTGATTGGACAAGGTGACTGCAGCTATGTAATGTTCCCACAGATCATCTGCGATAATTGCCGTTTTCTTCACAAGAGGTCTTGTTATTATTCCGAAGCTGTAGATCGTCCGCGCCGATGCCTGATCGGAGAGGTTGATCTCACACAGGCAGGTGGCGATGTGCCAGACGAGTATCCTGTGGGTGTCGGCCTCAAGCTCATCCCCTGCCCACGAGATATCGCTGACAATGTCCTGTTGGTTGGTTCTAAATGCAAGCGGAAAGTAGGATTCCAGATCATTGTCATTCGCGTTTCGCAGTGCACTGAATGACTCGAACAAGGCGCTCTTAACCTCTCCCTGCAGCTTTATCTTCACAGGGAGAAATCTCCCTTTGAGATGACGATATGCGAACAGGACGCTTCTTTCTTGAAGAACATCCACCAAGATGTTGTACTGGCCGATTCGCTGATTCCATTTGGCATTGGTGATTAGTCTGCAGAAAAACCCCAATGCACACTCAAACAGCGGATGACGCAACCTTGAGTCCTTGACGTACTTGCACAGCACCAGTACTTTGGTCCACTGCGAAAGAACGTAAATTGCAATCTCCCAGACCTCTTTGATGACGACAAGGACGATGATACAGTAAGTCACGAACAACTTGCTGTCCGTGTCCGGGCTCTTGGATAAGCGATGAACAACAAATCCAAGATACATGACTGCACTAACCAGAGATCCTGCCAGGAGCATCCTCCAACCCGGGAACCCCTTGGCGAACATGATTGCGTGTTTGCTATAGTGGAAGTCTCTGAGAAACCGCAGCTCCACCTCGGTGACGCGGAACGCCCTCTCGTAGTTTTTGCTACCTCTTTGCAGGATGTAATCGAAGACGAGTCTCTTCGTCTTGGGTTGCCGGGCCTCGTGTATGGGCAGGTTGCCGAACCTACGCCGGAGAAGCTTGTACAGCGCAAACGAGAGACAAACGTCCTTGAGCCGGTTGTCTTGATCCACTCCTCCACCACCGAGAAACCGGCTGCCGCGAAGACTCCATACCCTCTCAACGGTGACCATCTCATCAGGGTTCGTCACGTCCAGCTCGAGCTTGAATACTGGAGGCTCGACCTTCATCTCCTGCTTGCCTTCTCCTAGGACCAAATACCTGTACCCTGCCATGGTGGCTGGATCCACATCCTCGGGGTTGCCAAGTTCATGCTCGTATCTCATGTAGTTGCTTACGAGCCTCATGTTGTTGGTGTGGATATCAAATGCGCTATTGGAGGAGATGAAGAAGGCGATGATCCGCAGCGCGTTGACGGACCAGATGAACCAGAGAGGGATCTTCAGGCTCAGCACGGTCTGGGATCTGATGAGGTTGGCTGCCCACAGGGACATGAGCAGGTCGATGAGGGACATGTCCTTGCTCTTCCTGTACGGGATGCCGATCCTCACGCTGTACTGCAGAGTGACCAAGAGGACAGCCCATACCTGGAAGAAGTCATCTGGTTTTTCGTCGGACGATGAGAGCTGCATGAGTCCCAGGGTGTAGTGCACCAAGGAGTAGTTCAACAGCAGGATAGCTCGGCCGGCGTTGTTCAGTGGCCTCAAGGAGTAGTACAGTGGCGCGATGGCGCCGACGGCAAACTTGAGCCGCAAGGTCACCATGGTCACCACCACCCAGAACTCCACACCAATCGTGCCAGTGCTCTCATCTTGCTTGAAGATCCCTCGGATGGTTTCCACAACCATCTGTCTGAAGATGTAAACAGCAAACATCACTATTGATATTGATCCTATCAGTAATTTGGGGGATATAATTCGGCCCGATTTGCACTTCGGATCAGCCTTTCGATCGGTTTGGGTGGAAGGAGTACTACGCTTCTAGCTTTGGGCTCTGCCGGGAGATGAGAGAGGGATAGGACTTGTATGAGGATGCTTGCAGGAACGATATGTACTGGACGAAGGGCAGAAGCAAATATGCAAATACTAATTGTCTTACGAGAACATCTATCTATCTATCTATCTATCTATCTTCTATCTATTACTCCCTCCGTTTCAAAATGTTTGATACCGTTAACTTTCTAGTACATGTTTGACCATTCGTCTTATTCAAAAAAATTAATTATTTATTTATTCTTTTCATATCATTTAATTTATTGTTAAATATACTTTCATGTACACATATAGTTTTACATATTTCACAAATTTTTTTAATAAGACGAACGGTCAAACATGTGCTAAAAAGTTAACGGTGTCAAACATTTTGAAACGGAGGGAGTATATACTAAAAGTTCATTAAACATCCTATAAACACTCCTAGATTGCCATGTGGCACTCTACAAACGCTCTTAAATCGCCATGTGTCATTCTAATAAATTAAAAGGAAATTCAAGAAAAAACAAAATATCTAACCGTAGATTTTTATTAAATCTGGTGGACCCATTATTTACAACCGTTAGATCTATTTTAAGAAAATAAATATATGCCTCCCAAACCTGGCCCCACCCAGAGCCTATACTTGGACGTACGTACGTACATCACGTACGCCCCTATCCCTCAATCCCTTTCTCCTATTTTCCTTCAATTATCTCTCCTATTTTCATGCTATATTAAGTTAAAAAGCATAATTTGTGTTAAAAATTAAACATATCTGAAAATAAAAATTTGTACAATATATTGAAATTCCTACAATATATTCATAGTAGATACTTAAAAATATGAATAAATAATAGCTTCATGACTAACCTAATAATGTTATTTTGACTTATCATAATTTCAGAATGGGGAGTGTAATTTTTTTAAACATAATTTTACTTTCATTATCATTACAGGACTAATTAATTGTTGTGAAGCTATATATGTAGGATGATAAAATAATATCAATTTTTTATATTTTTATATAATTGTTTGAATGACACGTAAAAATCAACAAATATAACCCAAAAGTAACACATTTCTTTGAATGTTAACATATAGTGAATATGGGCCTTTAACTATAAATTTAGACATAGATAATATAATTTAACAAAATAAGTGGATAAAAAGTAGTTGTATAATTTCATTCCTATTGTTTTTATGAATTTTTATTATCACAAATTTTGCTTTCCAATTGTATAATAAGAAAATAGGATAGGGAATAGAACATACAGATAAACGACATGAATAAGGGGGAGGGGCGGACAATGGGACTAAGCATGACCACGCGCCATGTATAGTCCTGTGTAGGGTTTTAGATGTGGATTTTTTTTAATCTATTGGTTGAAAATAATGGATTTATCATAGTATTAAATTAAAATTGATGCCTAGATGTGTTTTCATATAATTCGTAGAAATATCTCATAATATATTGAAGTATAGTATCAGGTGGTGGATGTGAAATTAATTATGAAGTAAATTATTTTTGCAAGGTTATTAATTTTTATGTGGTGGCTAAGTATACTAATTTTGAATTATGCAGCAAATTCTTAGGTTAATAATAATAATACATCAATTTTTAAGTTAAAATACATCTCAATATGGGTCTTAAATTGCATCGTGGACAAAGACAAAGTTAATTAGGTAATTATGCCTCTCTGCGGCAAGCTTGCAATTGCACCAATCTCCAGTAGTCATAATTTTCTATGATGAATTACGTCAGCTATCAATCGATTATGTCTGCTAGTAAATAATAAATTAATTATTGATTTTTTACACGAATTGGTAGAACAATTAATTACATATGGTTGCATACCCAATATCTTTTATAGCAAAGTTTTCTCTCTTTTCAATAGAAATTCAAGAGTCAGATGTCATAGGTACCATAAAACCCAATTTCCAGTAGATAATTTTATAAATGGCATAATTGAATTCATCATGCAATACTAACAGAGAGAACAGAGACAAATCGTACTTTTGAAATGTGTTAGGTATTATTCCGTTAGTATACTACTAAGTTTCTGAAATGCTATCTACGATATATGCCCGCACGAATGCGTGGGCCACTTTTCTAGTTTTCTTAATTATGGCTAGCAGACAGAACTCTTTTGCAGTTGACTTGATTTTTTTTTACTATTTATAGTCCCGTGAGTCGTTATAACGGTTTCTTTATTCAGTTTAGCTAAACGATTTGGATAGAGTTGATTTATTGGTTTTCTATACCATGGTTGGTCTTTTTAATTAAGAAATTGGTTGTTATGGTATGAAGGTAGTTTTTAGGAGAAAGTGGGCGCCGCAGAGTTTCTCCCTGTGGAAGGAGAACGACTTTGCTTCTTGAACTTGATACATATATACTACTGGTTATCGTCGGTAACAGCGCTATAGGTAGACTGATATTTATGTAGCGGTTTCGCAGGAGACGCTCCGTGCAGTTCTCCTTTGACGCGTCCTATCCAGGGCTTTCCATTTCGGAAAGCAAGAAAATTTCAGTGGGCACTGAAATTCCAAAGTTTCGGAAATTTTTAAAAGAATCGTATATTTTGAACGAGTTTTTTTGAAATTGTAACACATTTTTACTGAATTTGAAAAAATTATAACCAAAATCACAAATATTTAAAAATTTTCAAAAAATTCGCTCAAAATATTTGCTTGCTGGAGGGGTTCGAAATTTCGAACCAAAAATTCCATCCTTGGTCCTATCCGGCTCATGTTTGACGGTGCAAACTGTGCAAGGACCGAGCATGGAAAGATACTACTTCTTCCGTATTTTATTTTAATGTATGACGGCATTGACTTTATAACCAACGTTTAACCACTTGTTTTATTTAAAATTTTTATATAAATATAAAAATACTTATGTCATGCTTAAAGAACATTTAATGATAAATCAAGTTATAATAAAATAAATTATAATTACATAATTTTTTTAATAAGACGAAAGGTCAATTGTTTATTAAAAAATTAACGGGTATCATACATTAAAATAGGAGGGAGTAAAAAGTACTACAAGCATTATATACATCACGTAACACGCTATCTCAATACCGGGGCCATCGTCATCGGCTCGGCGTAAACTTACAGTCACAGAGTATCATTGCCGCTTCACCGTCATTTTCCTTTTCATCAAAGGGGAGAAGCCCTCCATTTCCATTAATAGAAGTGTAGAAGTGATTACAACAAAAAAAAAAAGAAGCGACCCAGGTCCAAACCGATAATGAAACCGATCAAACCGTGGCACTAATTAAGAACTATAGTTGACCATCCGTCCATGTCTCAATTACCATCATGATTAGGTCAATGGAATCGTTGCACATCCAGGTTTGACAAAAAAAAACAAACATGATTCAGAGCCAACAGTAATCCATTATCTATGAAACAACAGAACATGGGGACCACAAAAAAAAGCATGTTGCACGCTGCAAATTGCATGATCACTTCTATAGTAAACTGCAAATTGCAAACAAAAAGTCTTTAAAAAAATGAATAAATAAACTAAACCAAATGTCAGCTTCCACAAATTGAAAACAAATTAAGGTTGTGTTTCAGAAGAGAGGAAGGACAAGATTGAAAAGATACGTATGAGTTAAGCCATTAGCATTAGCATATGATTAACGAGTATTAATTATTTTAAACTTAAAAATAGATTAATATAATTTTTAAAGCAACTTCCCTATTGTCACATCACAATCTGGCACCGCCGTACAACGGCACCTGATAGGAGCGTGTTGTAGGAAAAACGACGCGAACCGCTTTCTACGAAACCGCGATCTCAGTACCAGTCCCAGGACATAGTGCTGGTACCCACAGTGACAAATATGAATCATTGCAATCCTTAAAATAAATAGAGGACTTATTTACCTTAACTTAGATTGCAGCTCAGAACAGCCAGAGAATGCAACCGACGACACGAACGAGGAAACACCAACAACAGCAGCAGCAGCAGCGGAACCAACGAACTAACACCCAACACCACAGGCGACGGCTGGGAACCAGGACGAAACCCTAATCTTCACTTCACTTCACGACGGAGGAACTATATATATTTATATAGAGCAAGGATGAGTACTTTCGTACTTAGCAAGTCACGAGAATTTAGGTGTTTAATGCAAGCTTAGAAGAGAGGCAAGGTTGTTTTGCAAATCCTTTATTTGAAATCCATTTTGAAACCACTAAGTGATTTATTTCTTTTTAAGTTTGGGTCGAAAAGAGACTTGCGTCTCAACTCGACTTAAGAGATGCTTTTCAACAACTCAATTGGTAATGTACCGACCTCCCGGGTCAGATCATTACTTCTCGGCTCCCAGAGCCATTTCACTTGATTAATCGGCTCCCAGAGCCTTTTCATTTTCTCGGACTCCCAAAGTCCAGCTGCCCAGCAGCACAACAATCTGCTTCCACTCGGGAAGCCTAGTCTATGATGCCCGTAGACATCCCGAATCACATAGATTCGTTCCTTGACCACTCAAGTCATCCATCTGCCACATAGGCTGATTCTGGTAACGATTCCCAAACCACAACAACTTTTCACAAAGCATTGGCAAACAAATCTACGCTACAGGAAACACCTCACATCCGCCCATGACCGTGGGCACGGCTGTTCGAACAGTTAGTTAACCTCTGCAGAGGGGGTACACTTTACCCACACGACATTACTAACCCGGATCACCCAGCCCGTGAGATCAACCACATCGGGAGACCTTAAGGCTTTCATGACAAGGCATTTCGAAAGCCGACACAGGTTTACCATACGCCGACAAGAGGGGTCCCAGACCAACAACAGGTTAGGTCCCAGACCATACTGTGCCAGGAAGCCCAGGGGTCCTACCCGACACCAC